TGTCTCCCCCAAAATTTTAATAAAAAAAGTAACTTTATATCTATATGCCAAAAGAAGCAATTAGAAAATTAATAAAACTATATTATTGACAATAGCAATAAAAAAACAGAATGTCCAGGAACATACTTAAAAAAAAAAAAGAGTCCTGGCTGGTTTGGCTCAATGGTTAGAGTGTCAGCCTGTGGTCCACAAAGACCCGGGTTCAGTTCCCGCTAAGGGCATATACCTTGGCTGCAGTTTGTCCCTGGCCCTGGTTGGGTCGTGTGGGTGGTGGCCACTCGATGTGTCCCTTCACGTCAATGTTTCTCTTTCCCTTCCTCTCTCTCCCTCCCGCTTTATCTGAATAAAAAATGGAAAAATGTCTTCAGGTGAGGATAAAAAAAAAATTAAAAAAAAAAAAAAAAAAGAAATAAAAAAGAAAACAAGACCTCTACAAATAAATTTAAAAAACATTACCCAAAGAAATTAAATATTCCTGAGGACATATACTACGTCATAAAATGCAGTTTGGAAATATAATACCATATTCATTGAATGGAAGGTGGTATTAAAATGGTAAGTATTATCACCAAATATATAATTTAACACAATCCCTATCAAAATTCCAGCCAGGTAAGTGTAACCTTAAGGTGGTAAACTGACAAGCTGATTCTAAAATTTAGATAAAAATGCCAAGAAAAGCCAAAACAATTTTGAAAAAGATGATGAAGTACTAGTACTAATAGCAGTAGTTGCATTAATGATAACTAAATTGAAGGTACCAGGTATCAAAATTTGTTACAGTGAGAGGTCAGGAATAATTTGGGACAGATTGAATTGTGTGGTTCCAGGGAGGGGGCCACAACATCCACCATCCCTAAAGCCTGGCCCATACCTCCCCCTTACAGGAGATCACTAGCCCCATCTTCCTGACTCCTGTGGCCCCACCCTGCTATATTCCATCTCTCCTCCTGGCAGAATCTGGAACAGACTGACCGATTGAATCCTGTAGCTTTAGGACAGGGGACATTTTTCTCTTGCATGCTTCACTGGAGCACAGCTCTTCCTTTATATGACCAAATCTTGGTCTGTTTGGGCCTGATAAAACTCTGCTATCCTCACCCTGACAACTCCCTGACACTCCACCCTAACACAAAGTTGTGTGAGCACCCAGCAGGTGGCAGCTAGACTTGGTATATCATGGAACATTTGCTGACTGGCTCTGGCACCAAGTTTGAGCCAGTACCAATCTGGTGAACACCACTCTCCCCTAGCTGGTGACTAACTGAGAACCTACCTCAAGCTCTTTCAGTGACTAAGCCTAACATGCAGCCAGTGGACAAAGGCAGTGGAGGTGGATCTCACGGTGCCTTGGGACTTTTGCTGACCTGCCCCTGGGCCTGGTGCTGGTTTAAAAGCTGGTCTTGGTGTGCAGCTTGGTCCTTCTTACACTTCCCCAGGTCCCACGGAGGCAGCCAGAACTATGGATCACTTGTAACTCCAAACAGGTTGCCCAGGACCAGTCACAGGCAGTTTCTAACAATGACCTACACCCAGAACCAACAACACACCCAGTGGCCAGCTTCAGAAAACATTAGAGTAAAATCCAATAAGCTGCACAAGCAGCATATCCAAAGGGAGACCTTGGCAGGCATCAGACCCTGCTGAAGAGAATTCTGCTTCATGTGGTCAGTACCTGTACAGCATCTCATACAATGTGGTTAGGGGTGAGCTTCACAGCCAGCCAGCTTGAGAATTGATCTCATACACAAAGGGTCCAATAGCAATTAAGACTCAATTACAACAGGAGGGCCTACATAATCCACATAAGGGACATTCTTGGGGCACCCAGCTCAGGTGATCAAAAAGACACCACTGGACTCCATGGGACACCTACTACACAAGGCCACCCCATGAAGACTATGAATCACAGCAGGTCTATTTAATACAAAAAGTAAACGCAAAGAGGCAATCGAAATGGGGAGACCAATAAATAAATAAATAAATAAATAAAAAAGCCTGAAATGAAAGAACAGGAGAAATTTCTAGAAAAAGACCTAAATGAAATGAAGGCAAGGGATTTATCAGATATAGAGTTCAAAGCAATGGTTATAAGAATGCTCAACAGCATGAAAAAGGACACATAAACCATAAAAAGAATCAGTCAGTAATGAAGAATATACGGGAAGGAATAAACAATAGGTTGGATGCAGCAGAGGATAAAATCAGCAATTTAGAAGACAAGATAGAAAAAAACAACAACAACACAATTAGAGCAACAAAAAGTAAAAGTTGTTTTAAAATGATAGTTTAAGAGACCCTTGGGACAACATAAAGCATAACAACATCCACATCTTATGGGTACCAGCATAAGAAGAGAGAGAGAGAGAGCAAGGAATCGAGAACTTATTTGAAAAAATAATGACCAAATACTTCCCTAATTTGGTGAAGGAAAAAGACATTCAAGTTCAGGAAGTGCAGAGAGTCTCAAACAAGATGAACCCAAAGATGCTCACAACAAGACATCATAATTAAAATGACAAAGGTTAAAGATAAAGAAAGAAACCTAAAAGCAGCCAGAGAAAGTTAGTTACCTACAAGGGAGCTCCCATAAGACTGTCAGCTGATTTCAACAGAAACATTTCAGGCCAGAAGGAATTGGCATAAAACATTCAAAGTGATGAAAAACACATGCCTACAACCAAGACTACTTTACCCAGAAAAACTATCATTTAAAATTGAAGAAGAAATAAAAAAAAAAAGAAAAGCTGGGGTAGCCATATCTATATAAGACAAAATAGACTAAAACAAAGGCTATAACAACAAATAATAAAGGACTAATTAATGATAAAGAGATCACTTTAACAAGAGGGTATTACCTTTGTAAACATTTACATACCCAATGTAGAAGCACTTAAATTTATAAAGCAAATATTGATGAACATAGAGATAAATAAACAGTTAATACAGTAACTGTGGGGGACTTGAATACCCCATTGACATGAATGAATAGATCCCCCAGAGAAAATCTACAAGAAACAGTGGCCTTAAATAACACATAGATCAGATAGATTTAATTAATATTTTCAGAGCACTTCATCTCAAATCATAGAATATACATTCTTTTCAAGCACCTATGGAACATTTTTAGGAGAGAACAAATGTTGGGCCATAAAACATGTCTTAGTAAGTTTAAGATGACTGACATCATATCAAGTATCTTCTCTGACCACAAAGGTATAAAACTAAAAATTACAAAGAAAAAAACCCTGAATAACACACCAACACATGGAGGCTAAATAATATGTTACTAAACAATAAATAGGTTAAACATGAAATAAAAACAGATCTTGAGACAAATGAAAACGAAAACACAACAATCCAAAAACCTATGGAACACAGCAAAAACCACGTATTAGAGGAAAATTCATAACAATACAGGCCTACCACAAGAAACAAGAATTTTCTCAAGTAAAAAATATAACCTTATACCTAAAGGAACAAGAAAAAACAACAAAAAACAGCCCAGAGTGAGTAATTTAAAGAAATAATAATGATCAGAGTAGAAATAAGTAAGAGTCTAAAAACTCAATACAAAAGGTTAATGAAATCAAAAGCTTGTTCTTTGAAAACATAAACAAAATTGATAAACCTTTAACAAGACTCATCAAGAAAAAAAAGAGAAGATCCAAATAAAATCAGCAATGAAAGAAGGAACATGACCATTGACACAACAGAAATACAAAAATAGTACTACAAAGAATTACATGCCAACAAATTGGACAATCTGGATAAAACAGATAAATTCCTAGATATATACAATCTTCCAAGACTGAGTAAAGAAGAAACAAAATCTGAACAGACTAATTACCACTAATGAAATTGAATAAGTAATCAAAAATTTCCCAACAAACGAAGTACTGGACTGAATGGCTTTAAGGGTAAGCTTCATCAAACATTTAAAGAAGTATTATCACCTACCTTTCTCAAACTATTCAAAAAAATTTAAGAGGAAAGGCTCTCAAGCTTATTTTACAAGGTCAGCATTACCCTGATAGCAAAACAAGACAAAGATATTACAACAACAACAACAAAACCCATAGGCCAATATCCCTGATAAACTCAGATGCAAAAAATCTCAACAAAATACTAGCAAACCAAATTCAGCAATACATTAAAATAATCATACAATCAAGTGGGATTTATTCCTGGGATATACAAAGTTGGTTCAATTTCTGCAAATCAATTAATGTGATATACCACATAAACAAAATAAAAAACAAAAATTATATAACAATAGATGCAGAAAAAGCATTTGACAAAATCTAGTATCGATTTATGATAAAAACTCTCAACCAACTGGGAATAGAGAAACATACCTTGACAAAATAAAGGCCATATATGAAAAAACCACTGCTAACACCAACCAATGAATGCATAAATAAGTGGAACAACAAATCTATGTTCCTCTTTCTCTAAAATAAAAAATAAAAAAAAAGATAGAATGGTTTTCCTTAAAATTAGGAACAACAGAAGAATGTCCACTTTCACCACTTTCATTAAACATAATATTGGAAGTCCTAGTCATAGCAAGCAGGTAAGAAAAAGAAATAAAGTATTCAAACTGGAAAGAAAGAAGGAAAACTGTCATTAAAGAAGATATACTATAAACAATTTTACATATTATAGGCTAGTGGCAGTTATAGCTCTTAAAAATCTGATAGTAGTATTTTAAAGCTCAGATTACACAGAGTTGTAAAAATGAAAGATTTCCTACAGATCAGTTAACTCTTGGTTTGTTTTAATTATTACTGAGCTATAACTGAAATACATCTTCAACTCCACATTATTTACAGCTGTCCAATGATAAGGACTAAAGCAGTAAAATATGTGAAGTATGAAACATGTAATGTTGATGACAAATGTTTCAGAACACCATGAATAAGGTTACTGAAAAGCAAAGTAAATCTAGAACAAGGAAAGGGAAGAAGGTACATTTATTAAAAATAAAAATAGTAGACAGTCTTTGATAACAAACAAAACCATTTAGATTCCAAATACATTCAATATACATTGTAACAATGCACATATATTTTAAAAAGCCAAAGACTCATTAAGCAACTTTTTTAGAACCCTAGAAAGAAAAAAAAGTATTCTGACTTCCTCCTGCTAGAGGTCTACTACAAACACAGCATGCAGGACCAGTGTCCCCTTTCAAGTGTTCTGTATAGCACAGTATTGCAGTGTTTGCATTCATTCTGTGAATACAGTTTCTGACTAAAATTGCAATTTCTTTAGGTATGATCCAGAACATGCGAGTGGCTTCCTTTAATGAAAATCTTCCTAGGCTGGAAAAGCAGTGACAAACATTTTCCCAAACTTCAATTTCAACAAAATGTACAAAAACTACTAAATCTAGATGCTTTCACATTATTTTGCATGAGTATTAAGTACTGTGTAAAATCTTGAGTTTGCCAAAACTAATGTCTTTAAATTTTAGATCAAAGTTCTTCTTCACTCTACTAATGTCTTTAAATTTTAGATCAAAGTTCTTCTTCACTCTTTTAGGATGGCTGATAAATGTTTTCTGCCACTGTCACAAATAATGCTTGTGAAACCAAAGAACTCTGAAACAGAATATGCACTGCTGGAAAAGTACCAAAAATGTCCCTGAACTTCAGTCTTAAGACACACACAGTTCCTGTTGGACAATGGACTGTGAGAGTTTATTATCTTCAGTCTTTTCATGTCCTGGGGCATGGCAAGTAGTCTTCCGCTTAAATAATCGCAGACTCAATCGTAATAACTCATTGTCTACCATTGGAGCATTCGTGTAAGCTTGTTTTACCGTGCCCTATTTGGAGAAAACAAAAACAAGTTTAAAAAATGTACATTAGTTGACAGTAAGAAAGATAGGTTAACTTCTAATAAAAATATAAAAGTTGTAAAAAAAATTAATTTGGGAGGGATATTAGCTCTATTGGATAGCTAAAAGCAAAATTAGGAAATGTTTTCAGACTCCAGGAATCTTAGGAAAGAAGGCAATCTTTAGAGGACACCTGGTCTAACTTCTTGCTTAATGTAAGAATCTTCTGAACAATCCCTGACAGGTAATTGACTAGGTTTTACTTCATTTCTAATAAGAAAAAAACCCATACTGTATGTTTAACAGTATTACTACTTCTATGTGTGAAAATAAAAATCTTTAAAAAAAATTTTTATTTTTCTGTATTGATTTTTAGAGAGGAAGGGAGAGGGAAATAGAAACATCGATGAGAGAAAGAACATCGATTGGCCGCCTCCTACACATCCCCCTCTGGGGATTGGGCCCACAACCCAGGCATGTGTCCTGACCAGGAATTGAACTAGCAACCTCCTGGCGCATGGATCAACACTCAACCACACTGGCCAGGCTAAAAATCTCTTGTATGGAGCTATACACTCACTTAATCTTACTTTTACAGGATAATCTTTCAATTCTCCAAAGATAAGCACTGAACATTCCATACTCCTTACTGGTACATTAGTACTCCGTAAGACATGGGTTCTAGAACTGAACAAACCTCCCTTGTATGAAAATGTATGTCTCTATTACTGTAACTTAAAGCTACATTAGCATTTTTGAAAGTTATTGCCATAAAATTTTGTTAAATGTTCCCCAATCCTGTGTATAACAAAATAAGGTAAGGTTTGAGTATCTCCAGCATTCTGCCATTTCTCTTCTTGCTAGGATCCTTAAAGGAACACTGTGGGCCCAGTCAGTGTGGCTCAGTGGTTGAGCACCGACCCATGACCAAGAGGTTGCCAGTTGGATTACTGGTCAGGGCACATGCCCAGGCTGTAGGCCAAATCCCCAGTGGGGGGCATACAGGAGGCAGCCAATCGATCTTCTCTCTTATCAATGTTTCTATCTCTCCCTCACCCTTCCTCTCTAAGTCAATAAAGAAAAAAAATTAAAAAAAAAAAAAGGAACAGTGTGGTTCTCTGATTACACCTGCATTTTACAAAATATTTTATAAGTTGTGATACATTAAAATTCACTTTTTATGTATACTTCTGTGAGTTTTTACTCATGCATCGATTCATGTAATTATGACCACAATCAGGATAGACATTTCATCACTGAAAAAACTCCCTTTGTATTGAAACCCTCTTTAATCTCTAACCCTTGACAACCAATGATAAGTTTTCTGTTATAGTCCTGCCTTTTCCAGAACATCATATAAATGGAATCATACAGGACATTATAACCTTTTGAAACTAGTTTCTTTCACTCCATCACAATGTCTCTGAGATTCCTCCATACTGTTGATATTACTAAAAGCTTGGTTATTTATTACCAATTAGTAATTAATTGCATGGAGGTGCTACTGTTTATATCTATTAGCCAGTTCAAGAACACTGGGGTTGTTTCCTGTTTTGGAGATCACAAACAGAACTACTATAAACTTTTGTGTACAGGTTTTTATATTAACATAAGTTTTTAGTTTCTAAGGTAAATATATAGCAATGGGATTGATGGGTATTTAACCTTATAATAAAATTACAAACTCTCTTCCAAAGTAACTACCATTGTGTCTTCTCACCAGCAACATATGTGAGTTTCAAGTGCTCTGCATCCTTACCAACACTTAATATTTCAGGGTTGTTTTTTTGTTTTGTTTTGTTTTTGTTTTTGTTTTGCTATCTGTAATAGGTTGTTATTGGTATATTTCACTGAAGTTGTAACTGCATTCTGTAATAGCTAATGTAAAACATCTTTTCATGAGTGTATTAGACATTCATATATCCTCTTTGGTAAAGTGTCTACTCAAGTCTTCTACCCACAAAAAACAAAAACAAAAAACAAAAAAAACTGGGCTGCTTGTTTCTTACTGTTAATATTTTATTTCTTTATATATTATGGAGACAAGTTCTCTTTCAGAATGTGATTAGAAAATATTTTCTCCCAACATACTTGTCTTTGCATTATCTGTCTCTGTCACAAAATAAAAATTTTAAACTTTAAAGATCAATTATCTCAAAATAAAAAGTTTAATTAAAACACACACACACACAAAACAACAACAAAACTGTTTTGAAAACTCTCTCCCATCAATTGACTGGTCATATTTGCGTGGGTCTATTTCTGCACTCTGTTTTGTTCCACTGAGCTAAGTGCCTATCCCTTCACTAATACCACACTATCTTGAGTGGGGTGGCTTTACAGTAAATCTTACAATTGGGTAGTGTGAGTCTTTCAACTTCATTAATCTTTTGTTCAACTCTTTAAAAAAATCCTTTTGGCTATTCTAGTTGCTTTGACCTCCCATGTAAATTTGAAATCAGCTACCTATTATCTACAAAAAAACCCTGCTGGAATTTTTACAAGAATTGTGTTAAATCTGTAGATAAATTTAGAAAGAATCACAATCTTAACTGTATTGGGTCTTATAATCTAGAAATACAATATGACTCTCCATTTATTTAGGTCTCTTATGATTTTTTTTCCCCAGTGTTTTGTAGTTTTCAGCACAATGATCATGCATGTTTTGTTAGATTTATACCTAAGCACTTTATTTTGGGGGAGTTGTTAAAAAGGACGATTTTTTTTTTTTTCATTTCAGTTCTCAGGTGCTCCTATATACTGCTCATGTACAGAAATACATTTGCCTTTTTTTTTTTTAATGTTTATTAATTTATTTTTGTTACAGATGTTTCTCCTTTATCACTCCTAGACAGACCGCCCTCTCATCTCCCCAAGCATTGTTGTCTATGTCTATTCATTATGCTTACATGCATATAAGTTCTATGGTTTATCTCATCCTCCTCCCCACCCTCCTTCTTCTTCTGAGGTCTGTCAGTCTGAACCATACTCCTTTCTATGTCTCTGGGTCTATTTTGTTCATCAGTTTATTTTGTTCATTATATGCCACAAATAAGTGAGATCACGTGGTATTTGTCTTTCTCTGATTGGCTTATTTTACTCAGCATAATGCTCCCCAGGTCCTTCCATGTTGTCTCAAAGGATAAGAGATTTTTCTTTCTTACAGCTGCATAGTGTTCCATTGTATGTATGTACCATAGCTCTTTTATCGATTCATCTATTATTGATGGACACTTGGGCTGTTTCCAGATCTTAGCAATTGAAAATAGTGTTGCTATGAACATAGGGGTACATATATTATGTCTGATTAGTGTTTCAGGCTTCTTAGGGTATATTCCTAGAAATGGGATCACCATGTCAAATGGCAGATCAATTTTTAATTTTTTGAGAAAACACCATATTGTTTTCCATAGTGGCTGCATTCCCACCAGCAGTGTACTAGAATCCCCTTTTCTCCACACCCTCTCCAGCACTTGTTGTTTTATTTGTTGATGGCCACCATTCTGGCAGGTGTGAGGTGACACCTCATAGTTGTTTTAATTTGCATCTATCTCTCTGATGATTAGTGATGTTGAGCAGTTTTTTTTTTTGTTTGTTTGTTTGTTTTTTATTATATGTCTCTTGGCCATTTGTATGGCCCTTTTTGGAGAGGTGTCTCTTTAAGTCCTCTGCCCATTTTTTAATTGGATTGTCTTCATTTTTTGAGTTGTACGAGCACTCTATATTTTGGAAGTTAACCCCCTATCTCATGTATCGTTGGCAATTATGCTCTCCCATATAGTGGGTTCTCGTTCCATTTTCATGGTGGTTTCTTTTGCCGTGCAGAAGCTTTTTAGTTTGATGTAGTCTCCTTTGTTTCTGTTGCTTTAGGTGATGTATCAGTGAAAATTCTGCTGCATACTATGTCTGAAATTTTGTTGCCTACATTTTCTTCTAGAATTTTTATGGATTCATGAGTCACATTTAAGTCTTATATCCATTTTGAGTTCATTCATGTGTATGATGTAAGTTGGTGGTCTAGTTTCATTTTTTGCATATAGCTGTTCAATTTTCCTAACACCACTCATTTTTTGAAGAGGCTATCGTTACTCCATTGTATACTCTTGCCACCTTTGTCAAATGTTAATTGAGCATAATATCTTGGGTCAATTTCCAGGTTTGCTGTTCTGTTCCATTGATCTATATGCCTGTTCTTGTGTGAGAACAAGGCTGTTTTGATTACAATGGCTTGGCAGTATAAACTGACATCCAGTATTGTGATCCTTCCTACTTTGTCTTTCTTTTTCAAGATTGCTGAGGTTATTCGGGGTCTTTTTGATTCCATCTGAACTTTTGAAGTATTTGTTCTCGTTCTGTGAAATATGTCATTGGTATTTTGATGGGGACATTCTAATGATGTTAATTCTTCCAATCCATGAACAAGGTATGTGCTTCCACTTTTTTGTATCTTCTTCTATCTCTTTTTTCAATGTCCTGTACTTTTCTGCAAATAGGTCCTTTACTTCTTTGGTTAAGTTTATTCTTAAGTATCTTAATTTTTTTTTGAAGCAATGGTAAATAAGGTTTCTTTTTTAGTTTCTCCTTCACTGAGTTTGTTTTTGGTGTATAAAAATGCTGTCGATTTCTTGACATTAATTCTGTATCCTGCTACCTTGCCATTTTTATTAAATCTAGTAGATTTTTGATGGAGTCTGTAGGGTTTTCTATGCACAGTATCATGTCATATGTGGATAATGTCAGTTTCACTTCCTCCTTTCCAATTTGGATCCCTTTCATGTCTAACTGCTGTGGCTAAGACTTCCAGTACTATTTAAATAAAAGTGGTGAAAGTGGGCATCCCTGTCTTGTTCTAGTTCTTAAGGGAAGTGCTTGTAGTTTTTGCCCATCGAGTATGATGTTGGCTGTAGGTTTTTCACATATGGCTTTTATTATGTCGAGATATGATCCCTCTATTCCCACACTGCTGAGCATTTTTATCAGAGATGGGTGCTGAGTTTTGTCAAATACTTTTTCAGTGTCTATAAATATGATCATATGGTTTTTATCTTTCATTTTGTTTAGGTGGTATATCACATTTATTGATTTGTGAATATTGTACCAGCTTTGCATCCCTGGGATGAATCCCACTTAGTCATGGTGAATAATACCTTTAATGTATTGCTGGATCTAATTTTCTAATATTTTGTTAAGGATTTTGGTATCTATGTTCATCAGGGATATTGGCCTATCGTTTTCTTTCTTTATAGTGTCTTTTTCTGGTTTTGGAATTAGAATTCCAAAATCACTTTGGACGTCTTCCTGCTTCTTGAATTTTTTGGAATAGTTTGAGGAGACTGGATGTTAATTCTTCCTTGAATGTTTGGTAAAACTCCCCCATGTAGCTCTCCAGGCCTGGGCTTTTGTTTGCTGGAAGAGTCTTGATTACATCTTCAATTTCCTTTATTGGTCTGTTCAAGTTTTCTATGTCTTCCCAGTTCAGTTTTGGGAGACTATATTTTTCTAGAAATTTGTTCATTTCACTTAGATTGTCAAATTTGTTGCCATATAATTGTTCACAGTATTTTTTAACGACCATTCGTATTTCTGTGGTGTCAGTTGTTACTTCTCCTCTTTCATTTCTGATTTTTTTTAATTTGGGTCTACTCTCTTTGTTTCTTGGTGAGTCTAGCTAAGGGTCCATCGATCTTGTTTATCTTTTCAAAGAAACAGCTCTTTATTTCAATGATCTTTTGAATTGTTTTTTTTTTTTGGTCTTTATTTATTTCTTCTCTGACATTTACTATTTCTTTCCTTCCGCTTGCTCTGAGGTTTTCTTTTTGTTTGCTTTCTAGTTCCTTAAGCTGGGAGGTTAGATAGTTATTAGAAACTTTTCTTGTTTCTTGAGGTGGGCCTGTAGTGCTATGAACTTTCCCCTCTGGACTGCTTTCGCTGTGTGCCATAAATTTTGTGTTGTTGTGTGTTCATTTTCATTGGTTTCCAGGAAGTTTTTAATTTCTTCTTTGATCTCCTTGGTAACCCATTCATTGTTTAATAAGATGCTATTTATCCTCCATGTGTTTGAATATTTTTGTTGTAACTGATTTCTAGTTTCATACCATTGTGATCTGAAAAGATGCTTGATATGATTTCAATCTTCTTGAATTTGTGGAGATTTACTTTGTATCCTAACATGTGGTCTATCTTTAAGAATGTCCCGTGTGCACTTAAGAATGCATATTCTGCAGCTTTGGGGTGAAATGTTCTGTAAATATCAATTAAGTCCAGCTGATCTAGTTGGTCATTTAAGAACTGTGTGTCCCTGTCAATTTACTGTCTAAAAGATCAAATCTAAGTATTTTTCTTTAATGAAATATCCTTTCTTTAGCAATGTTTTCCTTAATGTCCACTAGTAAAAAGCTAACCAATTAAATGTTTCTGTAATTTTTTAGGACCAACTCTCACAATACACATGCCCATCAAATCACACCCCAAAATAAAAATCCTAGTTTCTTAAATTTAAAAAGCCTAAAATGCTTTTAATTTCTCATGATCAAATGTCACCTAAATCTCAACTAATTTCTATTTCTCTATATTTCAATTCCCTTTATTCTTCTCAAGTAAATGCTTACATATAATCACTTGTACTTATTTCCAACTTGATCCATTTTCATAAATACTATTTCTATAAAGATCCGGACCATATTCTGGGGAATTTTTTTCCTTAATCCTCAATTTAAATAAATTTCTAGTATGTTTTATTACCTGAAGAAAAATTTCACAATGAAATGAACAATATTTCACAGAAATGGAGCATTTTAAATAACTTTATACCTCAACTTTTAAATAACAAATTGTTTTCAACACAAATGTCCTATTAAAGTAAAATAAAAACCATTATAAATTCTAACAGAATTCTTTCCTTTACATTTGTAAAAGTCTAGAAAACCAAACTCATAAAACCAAATGAAACCATACTCTCACCCTAAAACAATCAAATGGAAAGTATGTCATTCATGTTATTCAACAAACATTTTGCATTTGTTCCAAAAAGAAAAAACAAGAACAATAATACCTTCTCATTTTTAACAAGCTGCTTTCGGATTGCAGAATCCCGTCTGAAGCACAATGCTTTACAACATGGTCCAAGATTACTAAGAAGACTTTCTCTTTCTTCTTTTCGTAATAATGCAGCCATATTGAGAGCCCCCAATTCATGTTCAAAAAGGCTGTCTGTATCTTTCAAATATAAAATAAACATGCATTAAGTTTTCCTAAAATATAAAATATCACCAACTGCTTAGATGAATATTCCACAGTCTGTACTTTATCAAAATTACCAACATAGATGAAAATTATTTTATATTAAAGGTGAGATATTCTCTGTGAAATTCATTTAATGTGTAGATGTGTAGTTTTGTTGCTCGTCTGAAACAAAAATTAATATCTGACAGCCACAGTAAGTTTAAGATATAAGAAAAGCAGATTCAGGAGTGAGAATTTAGACAATGATTACTAACTATGACTGGGAAGAAAAGTTTAAGTTAAGAGTTAGTGAAGTCAAATAAGAATATTGTACAACTACTACTTAAAGTTTTATATTTCAGTACTTTACTGTAGCAAGATTCAAATGTAATAATGTGACTACAGTGTACAGCTTCTTAAAAAAATCAGTTAGGAAGTGATTAGATGTCAGTCAGACCATATGAATATTTTATCCTAGATCTGATTACTACAAAATCCTGGGCAATGTATTAAATTAAAATCACTTAGTTTTAAGTCATAACATGCAAGGTAGGGAAGAGTATTTAAAAACTTTATAACAGAACAGAGCCAGTCAGTAATCAAAATAAATGACAGAAAAAGTAGTAACTTCAAAGCTAGCATTCTAAGAGTTGGCCAAGAGAACCAAAGGTACCAAGTACTGCTTCTGTAACATGATCAAACAGGTTAATGTCAGAGCCCATAAAGGAAAGCAACAAATAACATGTAAGTAAAAATAAAACAGACACATTTGATTGATAACAAAAACTACATTAAATATTTCATTTTCATTTTGTGAATTGCAAAGCACAGTGAGATCAGATAATTAACAAAAAACCTCGTCTCATACAATATACCTAGTAAATGAGTTATATACTTATTCAATAGGTATATACCATAAAAAAGTGTAAATAAATATAAAGAAAACTCAAAACTAGTTCATAAACTCTGGTGTCTATCAGAACTATCTGAGGAGCTTTTAAAAACACAGTGCCTATCACGAGATCTACAGAACCTCCACAGCTGGACCAGGATATTTTACAGGAAAACAAGGCAGTACCTCAGGTGCTTCAGAGATACAAATGTCTGAGCCAAACAATGACAGTCATATATGTATACCATTAAAATAAAAAACAAAGAAACATTAACTACCATTCCATTATGGATAAAAATATAGAAGACATTTGCATCAAGTCCATGCCATCCTTGACAACTGCTCATTAAGACAAATTTCTGCCCGGCTGGAGTGACTCAGTGATTGAGCGTCGACTCATGCACCAAGAGGTCACTGGTTTGATTCCCAGTCAGGGCACATGCCCAGGTTGTGGGCCAAATCTCCAGTGGGGGGCATGCAGGAGGGGGCTGATCAATGTTCTCTCTCATCGATGTTTCTATCTCTCCCCCCCTTCCCTCTCCTCTCGAAAATCAATAAAGAAAAAAAAAGAGACAAATTTCTTTGTATTGGAATCTTTAACACATACTTGCAAACCTCCCTAGACAAATTAAACATACACTTAAGTACAAGTAAAAAAAAAAGAAACAAAATAACTGAAAAAGTGTAGCTCAAAAGAACTTAATCGTACTACAATCAGAAAACCTAGCCAAAAGCAATTTAAGTATCAGTATATACTTGACCCTTGAGCAAGGTGGAAGCTGGGGTTGGCTGTGCCAACCCACTGCACATTAAAAAATTGGCCTATAATTTTAACTCTAAATACTCAGTTGTTCCTTGGAATCCATGAGGAACTGGTTCCAGGATCCCCCCAGATACCAAAACTTGCAGATGCTCAACTCCCTTATATAAAATGGTGTGGAACAATGCATCTTTAAATTCCCAACTGTGAATCAAAAATACTGCATTTCCACCCATGGTTGGTCGAATCTGCGAAGCAGGGATATGGTGGGCTGACTGTACGTATATTGAAATATCCACATATACGTGGACCCACATAGTTCAAACCCATGTTGCTCAAGGGGTAACTGTGTATGCAAGTTTTATGCTTTAAATTAAGAACATAAAGTTCTTAGATTTAAAAATAAATTACATATGGAGTGGAGATATGCTTTCCTTGGTATTGGAATAGACCCAGTAAAATAAGAAAAATAGGTATCAATTATTTCACAAATATTTATTGAATACGTGTCAGGTAGTTTTCTAGGCAATGACACAATCAGTAAGAACAGATCATCAGACATTGGATACAGCAATAAACAAAACAAAGTTCTATTTCTTAGAAAATTTATATTTAGCATCATATGCCAGTTCTCTAACAAAGCTATCATAGCAAAATATAGGACTGATTGGTAAAAAACAATCAAATTCCTCTCTACAGTGTGCATTTCCATTAATGAGATTAAGCCACTATTAAGTCAGGGTCCATTTGTATATTATAGTCAACAAACTCAAACTAGATTTTAACTTGAAATGCCATTAGCAAAAGTCACAAGAGCCAATAACTTTAGAGGTGGATAAGATCTTAGGCGTTTCATTCCATCATTTTATGCCCACAGGATTTATTTGCTTAAAATCACAGAGCCAACCAAATATGGTAGAAAGAGTGGGGCCTAAGACTTCAGTCGCTAGTCAGGTTACTATACACTCACAATTATAATTTATATATGTTTCATACACATACATTCTATGTTTACTGGAACATATTAAAATCAAGAGTTTTACTGCTTATGCTAGCAGTTGAAAGAAAGGATATGGATTCATAAAAATTTTAAACAATTCTTTTTTCAATTTTATATTAATAAAAAGCTTAATTCTTTTAACTAAACTTTTTCACTCTCATGGACACGATACAAAAGTCAATAATGTTGCTTTCACCTTTTACATCCTTTCCTTCTTTGTATACCCCTTCCTCATTTTCGACTTGATAAGGTCTAAAATCAATGTGATAAAATATTTCCAAACTAAAGGGTAGCAGTTAATATTTACTGTTACTATATATCAGAAACTATCAGAAACTGTTCTAAGTATTTTACTTATAATAACTATATGTTCCTTCTAGCAATCATATGAAGTTGATAATGTCATTAATCCCAGCTAAAGATGATGACACTAACACAGAGAGATTAAATAAAAGCTGGTAAAAATAAATAAATAAGAAAGAAAGAAAGAAAGAAAGAAAGAAAGAAAGAAAGAAAGAAAGAAAGAAAGAAAGAAAGAAAGAAAGAAAGAAAGAAAGAAAGAGAGAAAAGCTAGTAAGTGGTATGTCTACTGGAATCCAGACCATTTGGCTTAGAGACCCAGTTTTTAATAACTTTATTAGAGGTTCAACCTACACAACTGTTTTGGGTAGAATTCCCCTTTTCCCAGGAAAAAGGGTTGGCAAGACATCTAACTTGCTTAGATACGAGAACATCTAGTCCATTTCCCTAGGCTCTACTTCATTTAGCTCTGGTAAACCATTGAGTACTTTGTTCAAAATAATTTTGATACAGAAAGATTATTTGCTATTTTTACAACTTTTCTGTGAGTTTACCCACTTTTCCTCAAAATAAATTTTTAAAAAGAAATTCTCAACATGAGAATTAAATAATAAATATAAGTGGTTTCTAAAAAATCCAATATTGTAAGTGCTACATAAGAACAGAACAGAACGCATGTTAGTAGTTATAGCACACAGTATACAATCAAAGTAGAATGGAATTACCTTTGGGTTTTTCTAAAAGTTTCTCGCATGTTTCTCTGACTTTGGTAAAGAGTTCAGAACCTGCCAACTTTTTAGAAATCCCAACTCTCAACATAACAGCTCCAGGTGTGAATTTTAAGAGTGCAGCCCCAGGCTCTCGTGGTTCTTTGGGATGCTTTGGCATTAGACCAGACCAATCTACATCTATCACATCTAATGGATCTGTGAAAAGTTAAAGAACAGAATTTTTTTTTACATCTACAAATAGTATTCTTGTTATCTAGAGAAAAACATAAGCTGTAAAACCTGAAAAACCACTAAATAGCAAATACTTTAAACCAAAAATGTCATATTCTTAAGATGAAAGCTTTCTAAACACTAACATTTAGAATCTAAGGACCTTTACAAATAAAAAAACTTTCTTATCAAAGGAAAAACAGGCAAGCAAACAAAAACCCAAGCAAACCCATTCCTATAAATAACTCATTAAATTGCTTGAGAGATCCCAATGAAATAACTCCATTTCACTAAGAATAATAGGTCTAACATTTTGAAACTTGGTATCAGAAGCCTTTCACGGGTTAAATCTAGGACTCTACTTTGCATGTATGCGCACACAAATATTACTTTTTAAAAACAAGTAACTCATTACGATTTTGCCTTAAACCTTTTAAAAAAATTACATAATGGAAAAATAAACCATTTACATACACCCCCCCAAAAAGTAATTCAGTATGACATTTTAAGTTGGACAGTTGTTCTTATTCATGAGAACAAATAATCCATCCATTGACAAAGAGTAGTTGAGCATATAATAATGTTCTATTCAGAAATACACAAAAGCCAGTAATAAAAATAACAATCATTACTAAAAAGGTCATAAAATATAAGAGCAAATTAAATAAAAATAAAATGTAATATTGTATATACCCAAAGCAAAGACTTCACATGATAAAAAAACAAACAACTACAAAAACACAAAACTTGTTATTAACAATTAGACTGATTGGGGTGACTGATATAGTCAGCAGAATAAACTCTGGCAAGGCATAAAGTACTATAAGTGAAAATAATCCCTGAATTTAGAAAATTGATAGAAAGAGGTATAAAAATAGTGTTCAAATATAATTTCAACTATTACAAGTTTCTGAGGAGTAATTTCAAAAGTTGCTTGATGGCACCACAGTGGTGAAGCCCTGTACCATACACCAACTATCTCGAACACTGTCAGACAATCAGTACTATTTGGTTAGATTCCAAGTTATATAAAATATGAATCTTAAACTCTGGAAAGGAGCTATTTTAAATGAGACCTTTTCCAATTCATAGTCAAAGTCTACTTAAAAATGAACTCAAAATTTTTACTATAATTAGTGACTATAATTTTCATCTTATCGGCCTTTCAAAGTTAATTGAAACGTAAAGGAGAAAGTTCTAACTGCCTTTTATCAATTCTTGTATCATGAAAGGGAATAAAAAATATCGCTATACTGTAAATCATATTAATTTTTATGTTCAACTACCTCTGCAAATGATTGATTACCTGGCATCTTCTCCTCATCCTGTTGGTCCTCCCTCTTTTCAGCATCACCTGCCAGAATTTCATCTAGTTCATCATCACTGATTGGCTCATATCCTTCTCCAGCACCAGATCCTAAAGAATTTGCATCATCTAACTTGGATTCATCATCTCCTGCTAATTAAAAAAATTAATTTCATGTCAAAGAAAGCATTAGGGGAAAGAATACCTAAGTCACACTGTGCACACTAAAAATTTACTAAAAATTAATCAAGCATTTTTTTACTAGAAAATGACATTTTAAAATTCAAAATGTTTGAATAAAGAAACTGAAAAATAAGATTCACGTAGTCAAATTTAATTTTAATGGCAAGAACACAATAGAGAAAGCCATATCAAAATAGGTTATAACAGTTAAAATATGAGAAATAAAAGTTAACATAATGTTGACTATATAACATATTAATGTTAATTTTTTTATAGTACAACTTTGAGTAAGTCCAGACAAATCTGCTAATTTCAAAAGAATGCATTAATTTCTTTGCTTAAATCCATAACATTTTAAAAATCCTCATCCAACTCCTGACTGGTATGGATCAGCAGTTGGAGCATTGGCCTGCGGACCAGAGACTCCCGGGTTCAGTTCCCGTTAGGGGCACGTACCAAAAAAAAAAAAATCTCATCCAAGGACATGTTTTTATTGATTTTTAAATAATTTTTTTTCTGTATTGATTTTGAGAGATAGAAACATCAATAAGAGAGAACATCGATTGGCCACCTCCTGCATGCCCCCCCTGGGAATTGGGCCCACAACCTGGACATGTGCCCTGACCAGGAATCAAACTAGTGACCGCTTGGTGCACATAGGTCAATGCTCAACTACTGAGCCATACCAGTTGGGCTGTTTTTATTGATTTTTAGAGAGAGGAAGAAACCCTGATCAGCTGCCTTTTGCACAGGCCCTGACTTTATATTGCTTTTGTTTTAATTTGATGAGATTTTTCTTTGTGACCTAAATAAGGTTAATTTTTCTGACTTTTCCCCATGTGTTTGAAAACAAGATGGATATTTTACTTTGAGGTTTCCAAGTTCTAACATATACCTAAAACACTAGTTTTTTGGTTCTTCTATATTTTTAATAATTTTATCTAATCTGTCTTGGTTGAGGATGTCTTTTTTAAATCCTTACTTGAGAATGTGTGTGTGTGTGTATTTTTAAATTGATCTTAGAGAGAGAGTAAGGGGGAGAAAGAGAGAAAAGAAAACAGATATGAGAGAGAAACATAGATCAACCAGTTGCCTCCCCGATGCTCCTCAACTAGGGATTGAGCCCACAACCCAGTTATGTGCCCTGACCAGGAATCAAACCTCCAAACTTTTGGAGTACAGGACAATGCTCCAACCAACTGAACTACCTGGCCAGGGCAAAATTCATTAATTTTTAAAAAACTTGCAGACTTATTAATAACATTTATTTGAAACTTAAATCTTAGTTCATAATATTTAGGTCATATAAATGACTTTATAGCAGTGAGGTAAAATGTAAAAGTGCCATTAATTTTTCACCTATCTTCCCTATCTCAACATTATCCTATAATTTATGAACATAATTTTATAAAGAATGCAGTAATATAATTTAACACATATTTTTAGTACCAATGGTATATATTCTATTTCTTGATTTTATCAACTTTTCTCAACCACCTACTCTCTTCTTGAGTTAGTTGTTAACTTAAATTATCCTAAAATTACAGAGTACCATTTAATGTTTCTATATACTTTACTGAGTTTACAATACTAGCTTTCAAAATGCAACAGTATGCTTTAGAGATAAGAATTTGCAGCAAATAAAATATAATAAACTGAGATTTTTTTTTTAATCTTTATTGTTGAATGTAAAATGTATTACAGATGTTCCACATTTTTCCCCCACTGAACCCCTCCTCCCCACTCCTGCCCCCTCCCGCCTTTTCCCACACTATTGTCTGTGTCCATTGGTTATGCATATAAGTTCTTTGGTTTGTAGATTTCATTGTTGATAGATATGTATTCATTGCCATTTTGTTTGTTCATATATTTTATCTTTTTCTTCAAAAAGACCCTTCATCAATTCATATAATAATGGTTTGGTGGTGACTAGCTACCTTTCTCTTGCTGCTTTTAAGATTCTCTCTTTGTCTTGAAGCTTTTGCATTTTGATGATGATGTGTCTTGGTGTGGGCCTCTTGGGGTTCATCTTGTTTGGGACTCTCTGTGCTTCCTGGACTTGTATGTCTGTTTCCTTCACCAAGTTAGGAAAGTTTTCTGCCATTATTGTTTCAAACAGGTTTTCAATTTCTTGTTCTCACTTTTCTCCTTCTGGCACCCTTAAGATGCGAATGTTGGCACGCTTGAAGTTGTCCCAGAAGTTCCTTACACTATCCTCATTTTTTTTGGATTCTTTTTTCTTTTTGCTGTTCTGATTGGGTGTTTTTTGCTTCCTTATATTCCAAATCGATGGTTTGCTTCTTGGATTAACATACTCTACTATTGAAACTGTGTAAATTATTCTTTATTTCAGCTAATGCCTCCTTCAATTCTGACTGTGCATGCATAATTTCTGACTGGTCCTTTTTTAAGCTCTTGAGGCCCTCACCAAGTTCACTGAGCATCCTTATAAGCAGTGTTTTGAACTCAGCATCTCCATTTCACTTAGTTCTTTTCTTGGGGTTTTGTTCTGTTCTTCATTTGGGACCTGTTTCTTTGTCTCCTCATTTCGGCTGCCTCCCTGTGTTTGTTTCTGTGTATTACTTAACGAGCGGTATGGGGCTAGCTGAGACCAGATGCTGCTCATTTGAAAGAATTTAGGAAAAACCTGAATCAGGATCCAAGACAGGCCAATCCTATGTTTAAGCTAGTGGCAAAAGCTTGGGTGGGCCTGAAAATTGGGTGAGGCGGGGCGGGGCTACCAGTGTGAGCCAGGTTGCTGGAGTCCCAGGTTGCTGCCCCAGGGAAGGGCTCACCAAAGGAACAAAGGCCTGTGACAGCACGTTTGTCCCAGAGAAAGCCCCCTCTCCAGTGCCAAACAGCTCAGTTCTTCCCTGTATGTCTCTGGCGCCCCTCGAGCTGCTTCCCCTCCAAGCTTAGAGGGAGAGAGTCCGATAAGTTTGCACACGGGCCCTTTAACGAGCTGCCTGGGGCTCCAGCTGCTTCAGCTTCCCTGAGCCTCAGTTCCTGCTGGTTTTTCCAGCCAGAAGTTATGGGGATTCTCTTCCTGGCACTGGAACCCTGAGTGGGGCACCTGGTGTGGGACAGGGACCCCTCAGTCTTCAGGAAGGACCTTCCCAGCCGAGGTGTCCTCCTGATTTTTATCCGCCACAATGGGTGTGGGACCAGCCCTTCTTGCCCCCGGCCCTTGCCCCTCCGCCCCTCCGCCCCTCCACCACTCCTACCAGTCTGGATGTGGCTACTGCTTTAATTCTGTAATTGTAGGACTTCCATTCAGCTTGATTTCAGGCGGTTTTGAATGATGGTTGATCTGTAGTTTAGTTGTAACTTTGATGTGGTTGTGGGAGGACGTGATACTGCGTTTACCTACGCCGCCATCTTGACCGGAAGTCCGAGATGTTTCTAATTATTCTAATGATTTTCTATTCTATTAAATTCTGTAATAATCTCCCCATATCCTCACCAATTAATAAGATAAAATTCATTAATTTTTAAAAAACTTGCAAACTTATAATAACATTTATTTGAATTGTTGAAGGTAAACAATTTTAATAACTTCATTATATAAATATACATCTAGACATAAGTGCAAATGATAAGATATTTAACTTTTCACGCTTATCCAACTCATTTTTCTCCTTAAGTGAATAAAATGTTTCATCTTATAGTAAGTAATTCACCTATAAATTTCTATGCTATGTTGTCAATGACCACAACCAATGAATGATATAGTTTAAAAAAAGGGTTACAAGAGAACTATTATCATCATTAGTTCAATTATACTCAATTATACACCTCCATTAGTACTATGGCTCACAACTGATGCTATTTGAACTCATAATTGAGAGGAAATGTAATTGAAGAACACTGAGGTCGAGTGTTTTTGTCAAGTCAAGTAGAAAAAATGTTAACAGATGGCATATTGGAATATTTAATCAGATAACCAAAAGATGTAAGGATGTTTAATTATTATTAAACAAAAAAATTTTTTTTCATTGCTTTTTAGAGAGAGAGAGGAAGGGAGAGGAGAGATAGAAACACTGATGAAAGAGAAAAAAACATGGATTGGCTGCCTCCTGCATGCCCCCCACTGGAGATTTAGCCCACAATTGGGCATGTGCTTTGACTGGGAATAGAACCAGGACCACTTAGTGCATGGGTTGATGCTCAACCACTAAGCCACAATGGCCGAGCAGGATGTTTAATTTTAAAAGAACGTGAATTTTACTCTGGGCCCAATGCTACAATATGGCCAATAAAATATTACTGCGTCTATACTAAGTATCCCAGAAGCTTTTTGGGTACTTGAAGTAGACAGGTTATGTCAGAACAATGGTGTAGGCACTGGTATCAGGAGTGGACAATGACATGGAGGAAGAATTTCCAGAATTCTCAGGAGAGCCATATATTGTTATCTAGGCTATAATTCACTAAATGAAATAAAATAAAATGTAGGGCATGTATGTATACGCAAAATACATTTCCATTTTTCTGTCACTTACTTTGTCCTTGCTATAGTATCGATGGACAAAAAAAAAAAAAAAGCTACAGTCCTTTACAAAGGAATACAGTATAGTGGAGAGAAATCCAAATAATTATAAAATAATTGTAATAAAGTAGAGGAATGCCATAAAAGATATATAAACAAAGTGTCATATCAATTTTAAAGCTTAAGAGACTTCAGCAGAGAAGGCTTCGTAGAAGAAATTAATCTATAAACTAAGACTTGCAGTTTGAGTAAAACAGAGATGATAAAAGGGCAAAGGTCTATGAGTCCATGAGAAAAGCAGGTGCAAAGAAAGCTAAAGAATATAGCCCATTCAGAGAACATAAAGTAATGAGTCAGTCTTTACAGTAGACTGGGGATGAAGGATAGAGAATGATATTCCACACAGCAAGGCTGGCTCTGAGAAAGCTAAAGGGGTGATGTGGACTTCTCAGGGTTCCTTATTCTAGGAATGGGGAGTGCACATAGTATTCTATAGTCAATCTGTCATTAAATGCAGTTTAAGGTAGTGTTAGTGTTTCATATATTTGTTCTCAAAAACTGCCCTAGAAAACAGGAACCACTAATAGTTTTTTGAATCCCTCTCTGAACCAAAAAGTCACTTCAATTTTTATAATTTTTTCCTATTTTTTAACATTAACAGACACTGCATCTAAGTAATCTTTTATTTCATTTAGGATTATCTGAACCAAGTCTGCCTTAATAGTAACATGAGGGGAACATATTTTTACAATATGATGTGACTTTGCCTTATAGAACAGATTTTCCCTAAAAAGCTATGGAGTCAATATACATCAGCAGATTACCTTTTAAAAGAAAACATTCATTTCCTATGAAATCTGAAAAGGAATGGAGCAGTATAACAGGAAAAAAGTTATGACTCACCTTCCACACTCTCAGTTCTTCCAGCTTTATTTATATCTTCAAATCCCTGTATAGATACTAGATCTTTATCCATTCTTTCTTTATCTAAAGATACAGAATCTCGGGAAGTGATTTCCAGATCTCTTTCATGTTCATTCTCCAGTTTTGCTTCACTGCGTTTTACAGACTCCATTAGAGAACTTTCAAAAGTTCTGTCTCTATCTCTGTCCCTGTCCCTTTCCATGGAATCAGAAATTAGTCTCTCTCTTTCCCTGTCCAAGTCTCTCCTTTTGTCTCGTTCTCTCTCTCGTTCCCGTAATCTATCTCGGTCCCTGTTCCGTGACCAATCTTTCTCAGCATCTCGATCCCAATCTCTCTGCCTTGTATCTCTCCTTTCTCTTTCCCGCTCTCTATCATGCTCATACCTATCACGTTCTTGAAGCCTATCTCTGCTATCAAATGACCCAGATCTTGAATGAACTTGTCGATCCGACTCAGGAGAACTTCTTCTTGAACTATGGCTTCTTGAATCCTGGCGATCTAAAATAAATATATACAAAGAGTTAATGTGATAAAATAGATATAAAATGCTTCATTTTAGGGTCCTTTAAAGCTTATGCTTTATCTTTTTCTATATTTATTGCCACTATCCAAAGAACTCATTTAAGGAAAAACTGATCTCTCAAAGTGCTAATTAAAATATGTAAAACACATGTTTCTTCATCTATTTCCACTATAACCACAAAATATCTTCAAAGAAATAAGTACTTAAAGGCTAAGCATCATTAGAACCGATCACTTCATTATTTTATTTTCTGTGGTCAAAAGAGAATGCATTAGCTGTTGGAAGAACAGATAGGTTAAAATTTTAGGCATGAAAAGGGAGTTGAATACATAAATCCTTTCACTAAGATATACTACTAAAATCTTGCTATTAAGCAGACTGAAAACACTCAGTGTACCTTTTATTATAATGTTGGTATTAATGTGGTAACAGGTAACATTTTGGAGGGATAATGGTTAAACTTCTATTTTAAGCTCCCTAAAATTTAGGGCAGCATATAAAATAACCAATTTACCATTTACTTTCAAATTATAATTTATATAAAATACGCTAACTAGGAAACACCAGCTAGATTATAATTCAATTTTATTACCTGAAGAAGTACTTCGACTGGGTTCCCCACGCTTTAACTGATCAATTCTTGATTTTCTCTCTCCTGAGACTTCCAAGCTTTTTGTTTTTTCTCTATCTCTGGAGCCACTATGTAGTACTCTCTTTCGACCACTTTGGTCATCTCCACTTCGATGGGCAGAATCATTGGATGGGGAACGCAGACGACCAGATGTATGACTACGATTACTCCGATTGCTCCCAAGGCTGCTACTCCTCTTTTGATCCACTGGCTTGCGATGTGATGCATCTTCTATAGTAACATGAGGTGCCTCTACTTTTTCCGCTCGTGTTTTATGGCATTTTCTATGAGAGTCTTCACTGGTATTGGTGGGGTTGACAGAAGTGGAAGTAGTGGTGGCACATGGGCTGAAGGTGCTGACAGCAGCAGCAGCAGTGGCAAGAGCAGCAGAAGCAGTCATGGTAGGAGCTGCTGCCACAGGAGGAGGAGGCGGGGGAAGGGAAGATGGAGAAGGAGTCCTTCTAGGAGCAGCAGCTGAAGCAGCACGCTCTGTTTCGGTCGCCTCTGCACGGTCAGGCACATCCTCATCAGACCAGTCACTAAACGCTGTATCTTCTTTTCTCTGAGGATCTTCTACACTCAAATCCTTATCATTGGACATTTCAACCAAGTCCTCTTTGGTTGTTATTGGGGGAGTCCGGGGACCTCTTTTCTTCTTACTCGGCTGGGCTCCTTCTTCATCAGAAATATCAGAATCACCTCTGGATCTCTTATATTTTTTTTCAACACTTTTCTTCTTCTGTCCTTTTTTTGGTGAAAATACTTGACCATCATCAGATGTTGTCTCTGTGTTACCCCTCTCTATTCCAACATCATCCTCTTTCTTTTTCCTAATAGGTTTCTTTTGAATTTTTGTTTTTTTCTTGTTTTCATCATGAGTTCCATCAGATATATCACGGTCTTCAGATGGGTGGTGTCCTATCATGTCTTGTGCTCGAATTCTTGAACTTTCCGTGATTTCTGTCTGTTCTCTCTGCTTATCTACAGAAGAAACTTTCTCTTTGAGCTCTTGCTCTTCATAGCGCCTTGAACTCTCTTTTCGTTCTGGTTTACGATCTTCCTCTTTCCATCTACCCTGCCTGTCTTCTGGAAAGTGTGATGGACTGAGAGAATGAGATTCTTGAGGTCGTACAACCTGGCTCAAGAGTCTGTATCTTTCATCTACACAAAAAGAAAAAAGTAATCACACTTTCACCACATTAACAAACTTTCATGTTACATGTAAATAATAATAAAAAAAATCTTTTATTTTCATTTTAAAACATGAAAAACTGCAATTTTACTAAAAATAAAAAATATGGCTTTTCTGCAAATGGTAGAAAATGACAGTAACATTATGATGAAATGACTGTATTTCTAACACATACTTTACTCACACAGAAGACATTCAGAGGAAGCAGAGTAAGAAAAAGATTAAATCTGAATTCATCACTTCCTACTAATGTCAAAGAATGGTCTCATGGTTACAAATTAAGATGAATCTAGAGACACAGAAAACAGATTCTGCTTACTTTTATCATCTCCACTGTTGTAGTTGTCACTGTCAGGAGAATGTTCTCGCCGGCGCTTAGGTGACTGACGAGGGCTAGGACTCCCCTCATTTCTATAGCGCTTCCTAAATTGGACAGAGGAATGTAATTTATAACATTCTAGGAGATGAAAAGATTTATTTACTGTTTTTTAACTACTAATTCCTCACTATATTAGAATATATAATTGTAGGACAGCAATATTGTCTATATCATACAAAGGGTATTTAGCATCTTTAATAAAATGAAGACCTTCATTTGTTAAGACTTAGAATTGTGAACTTAAAATACACAGCAACATATTTTCCTTTCTTCATTATACATGTGGAATTACTCTCCTGAAAATCACTATATATAAATACCGTAAGGTAGAAACATATAGAAGAGGAATCAATATATTCATGAACCCTCTACTAAAATTTAACTCATTAATTTTACATTTTTATGCCTCATGTTGGGAAACCAAATGAAAAAAATACTGGCTTTAGAGTCAAAAGATGAGTTCAACTTATAGCCATGTTAGTTATTATGCAACCTTAGTTATGTTCCTTGAAGTCACTGAATTTTAGCTTTCTCATCTGAAAAAGAGGGGAAAAAACAAGGGTCCATACCATAAAATTATAATGAGGAATAAATTAGTTATGTCATAAGCCCAATGCCAGACATGTGTAAAAATTAGGTCCTTTTCTCTTCTTAGAACTAAAACACTTGTTTGGTGACAAATTAATAAAAGCATTCATATGTTCATTAAACTTCTTGTCCTTTCATTGAACTTTAAATGAGCAGTGATTTATATCTCTGGGTACTTAAGTTATTCTGGTATTCTCCTATATATTCATTAAATTTTGACCAATTAATTTTTATTAACATTTTTTTGTTAATAAATACTATGTTCAAAAGCTGAGACATATTACAGCAGTTATTTCCTTGACAGCTCATTTTTATAAATGAGCAATCAGGTGGAGAAGAAGGAGGCATCAGATGCAGTATGACAATCCTCAAAGCCAAGCTTGGGCAATTCATTATCTGAAGCGCCTCCTATCTTCAGGCAGTATACTTCCCATTCTTTGAACCTAGGTTGGCCCAGTGACTTACTATGACAAGAGAAAGTCATGAAAGTGACACCGTGTAAGTTTGGAGAGTTACGACTCAAGAGGCCTTACAGCTTCTGCTTTTGCCTGCTTGGTATGTACCTACCATCATATGTGAAAGTAGAGTTGGCCAGGCATGTGAGTGAGGCCGTTTGAGGTCATTCAGACCCAAATGAACTGCCACACTGACGGTAGAAAGATGACTGATCCCAAGTGAGACCAGCAGAAATGCTCTGTTTAGCCCAGCCAATAGCCAAAATTGCTAATCCATAGAATCATGAACAAAAAAATTGTTTTACACTAACTTCTGGGGTAGTTTGATTCACAGCAAGAGATAATTGATAAACCAGAATAAAGTAAAAATTTAAAATATACAAAAAAGAAACTTTAATTTCAAAGCAGTATCTACAGAAACAAAATTAAAGTAAAATAAATACTATGGCAGTTCTGCACACCTTCTACATAACCATGGTTTAAAAAGTGCTGGATAATGTCAACTACTGAGATGACAATACAACTGATGAAGACATCAAGATATTAATCTCACGTAAGTAGTTACTGAGGTCCTTACTAATGCTTGGATTGTCTAGCCACAACAAAATAAGAAATTTTTGCTATTGTAAGCCAAGAACAGAAGCATGGAAAAATTTTAATCAAAGTACAAGACTCCATATTAGATAAAAATAGATTTCAGAATTTTAATATTAGAAGAGAGCTAGAGAGGTCAGAAGACATAAGAAAAATAATAGGTATTGTGTGCCTACATGTGTTAAAGGTAGTATATGAATTTTATGTTAATGTAAAATTTCTTTTAAAAATGAGGGTGAACTACAGAAAATCTTGGCTGCAGATTGAAGTGAAGGAAGGACCAAATGGAAGAGGCCTTCACTTCAGTGCTATGTTGTTTGTCCATAACCATAATCGATAATAGTCATGATGCAAAAGGCCTAAAGCAGGGAGTCTATCTTTTATCATGAGGCAAATGTGCTAGAGGTAGGACCAAAGAAATTGTATATATATAAAATTTTCCACAGTTTATTTTAGCAAATGTAACCATACTATTTTCCAAGTTAGTATTTTTTTACAAAGCAATTAATTCCAACAAGTTTGGTTTTGTGCCTGTAATACCTCAAAAACAACCAATCAGGGTCCACAGTTCTTATGGCCACAGTGATGGCCTTGACTCCCTTGTTGACGCCTCCACTAATGAAGGACTCAACATAGAGGGCTGCTAAGCTGACAGGCATAACCATGGTGCTGTCTTAACCATCACTGGGAGAAAACCTTTCTAAGATTGGAACCAGCACAGAAGAAAACAGTGGAAGAATGGAAGTACACCATTCCTGATGCTTTGTTTGAGAATGTAGATATACCAGAACAAAAATGAGAGGTAACCCTAGACTCCCCAGACACTTGAGCAAATAAATTCTTTTTGGTTAAACGGGAAGGGGATGCCCTCAGGTATATTTATGAAATTAATAAGAACACATTTTGTCCCTAATTAACTCTATACTCTATAGCCCAAGACTGGATACCTCCCTATATCTCACCTTCTTGTAGCCATGCAGTGGTTACAGAAATTCCTTCAGTTCTAAGACATTGTGAATGTTTTAGTAGCCTGGGGGTAGCGAACTTCAGATTTTTAGTATGCAACACTCATGAAGAATTATTAGGAAGAGCATAGGCAATATCTCTTGGTAAATAGTCAACTCCATATAAAATGGATGTGATGGGATACAAGTTTGATGATTTTATCACTTTTTTTTTAAATTTCCTGTTAAAAACAAGTCTATAGCAGGTGAATAAGCCAATGTGTCATTAAAAATGTAATTTAAATAAGGATAATTATGTATATCCCCTGAATACAGAAGTAGAAAAATAAAAAGACTATTAATTTTTCCAGATAATTAAAACACATTTAAACACCAAATTATGTAATAAAATTGAAATACAGAAATTTGTGCAGAGGAAAAAAATAACAAGACATTAAGAGCACACTAAAAAGCATTACACTTTTTATATTCTTTACTGAAATATGACTTAAAAAACTGATTCATAATTACTCTTACTTTGATTTTCTCTCATCATGTCCATCTCTTAGATTCCTGTCTTCTCGGACATCTTCTCGCTTTTCTCTGCGGTCCTCTCGTCCTTTGTCTTTGTCTTCCCAATCCCTTTGACGCTCCCGTTCTTTATCCCTTTCTCTTGCTCTTTCTCGTTCCCGCTCTCTCTCTCTCTCCCTCTCCCGTTCTCGCTCTCTCTCCCTCTCCCTTTCTTCTCTCTCTCGCTCCCGTTCTTTTTCCCTATCTCGCTCCCTCTCTCTTTCTCTCTCTCGATCATGGTCACGATCTCTTTCTCTTTCACGGTCTCTCTCTTTTTCTCTTTCTCTTTCCCTCTCCCGTTCCCTAGCCCGCTCTCTTTCTAGTTCCCTTTCCTTTTCTCTTTCTCGGTCCCGCTCACGTTCCCGCTCTCTCTCCCGTTCTCTGTCTCGTTCTCGTTCCCGATCTCTTTCTCTAGCCCTTTCATCTCTTCTATCATCCACTCTGTCTACTCTTCGTTCCTCTCTTCTTTCATCACGCTCAAGCTCGTCATTCCTTCCCTGATGTCGAATTGGTGAGCTTGGTCTTTGATCTACAATGAAAACCAAGTTTTGTCAGTGATTAATTGACAGATAACTTATTGGTTAGACAGTATGGCAAATCTTAAATTTTATCTGTGTATAGGGTCACAGTGGCAATAAATATAAAGCAGGTACCATCTTTACTTTTAATTTAATCATCCCTAGATGTTTAAAAATATTTTTTCTTAAAGGTAACTTTTATTTTCCCTCTAACTAACATGTTTTCTGCTCCCCATCAATCCCCCACCCACCTCCCACTGATCCACCTTTGATCGTTCTCTGCATGCTCCCTACCCTACCTCCAGCCCACTGCTCCAACCCCACTTTCTGCCATCTCTACCCTTCACCTCTGATCTTCTCTGTCCCCCCAGCAGGACCTGAGAACACTGGTGGCAAAGGATAGGGGCAGCAGGAGGTGTAGAACAAAGGAGCTGAAGGAAAAAAAAAATTTCCCTCGTAAGTCACACCTCTAACTTCAGGCAAAAATATATACACATAAAAGTGCAGCTATTAAGTGAGGAAAATATAGTGGAACAAAACAAATATTTGTCGCTGCAATATCACTTTATCATAATCTAAAATATTAAGGGTACTGACGCTTAGCAATCGTGAAATAATCAACTGTAAAAAGTGTTTCATATTAGTGATATATTTACAATTGATAACTACTAATAAATTAAAAGTTTTATTTAATCATATAACTGATTACTCAGATGAAGAGCTATTTTCTTAAAATATGAACTGATAACCTCATCACATTATATATATGTATGTGTACATATATGTGTGTGTGTGTGTGTGTGTGTGTGTTAAAACACAAACCATATAAACACAGAGAAAATTAATGCATGATGCCCACATGCCCAGTTGAGTGGGACATTAGTCTAGGATAAAAAAATGTATAATAAAATGGCATGGCACTTTTCCATGAAGCTAGCCATTTTTAAATTTATTTTTTATTAATCCTCACCCAAGAATAAGACATTTTTCCATTGATTTTTAGAGAGTGGAAGGAAGAGAGGAAGGGAAGAGAGAGAGAGAGAGAAAGGGAGGAAGAGAGAGAAAGACATTGATTACTTGCCTCCCACACGACCCTGATTGGGGCCAAGGATTAAACCTGCAACCCGGGTACATGCTCTTGACCTGAATCGAACCAACAACCCTTCAGTCTGCAGGTTGATGCTCTAACTGCTAAGCTAAACCAGCCAGGGCAAAATAGCCATTTTTGAAAGTAGTTCATTGTAGTAGGATCTATGTTATTGCGATGCTTCTACTTTCATATTATATAATAATATTTATCAGTTAATTATAAAGGTCATACTATAATATGGTCAACAGATTTGTAAGCGGCATATCTAACATCAACTTATTAACCAGAATAATTTTAGGATATTTCTAGGGAAGGGTTCAATATAGTAATTTGAATTTCCTTTCTTACCACAGATGAAAGACAAGAATTATCCCTATTTACTCATTAGAAATTGTAGACTGATACAAAAGTTCATAAATTTTCAACGCTAAAACAAAACAAAACCTCGCCCTGCCCCCTTCCTCCTTTTCTTCTTAAAAACACAGAAATTATGGTTCAGAAGTTTGTTTGCCAAAGTCATAGAGATGATAAACACATTAGGACAGTCAGCTGTCTTAAACCCTTTTTCACTTTTATGGAAACCCGCTTAAATTTAAAATGGTTTTATTGTACCATAGTTTTGATTCCTGGAATGCTAAGATTATCTGAATTCCTGGTTTGGGGGGTCACACTGTCACTATGATTACAAAATGTTGAAACAAATTTAATACTGCAACTTACATAATAAGGAAATATACTATTTTACTCACTCTATTTTGACATATACCAAGTTTATTTTCCCAATCAAAAGGACAATGTTCCTTACTTCAAAGAAAATGGAAAAAATATAAGACTACTTTAATGTCTAAAACTCTCTTCTATATCTTTTCCCCAAAATATGTTCTTTGAAGATGTGCTTCTTGCCATGTATCTCTTTATCTTAACGACTAACATACCCATTCATGAGATCTGGAAATCTCTGAACCCCATCATACTCAAGTACCATCAATTTCACTCTCAATATATTTATTCTATTTCCTCTCTCCATTCCTAGAGTTAGTATTATTAACTCAGACTTTGATAAGCTCTTCTTAGATGTCTATGTCATCAACAGTCTAATTGGTTGGTATCCTTGGTCTTCAGTCTTTCCCCAGACTCTTGTACTTTCTTGATGAAAACTCTATTCTTCCAGCTGCTTAAAAGCAGTTATTTTATAAGTAGTGAAAAGGCAATCAAATTCAAAATTTTTAGCCTGCCTTATAGGCCTGACAACCTAGCCTATCAACTCTTATCAATCCTTTTTCCTAGCTTCATTTCCTTTTCCACCAAATATAGCATACCTCTACCCAACCTCATACTTCTTTATTACTTCAAAACATGTTTCCTTTAGTCTTTCTCTCTGCACATGGTGTACTCTCTCCCTGAAAAGTGTTTCTTCCATCGTTCCTTTTGGCAAACTCTTACTATCCTTCAGACCCTAATTCCGATGTCCCCTATTTAGAAAGCTTTCTTAGGTTTCCTCAGAATTCTGTTTGCTCCTTTGTCTTCTCATAGAACTTTATAAACTAGTTGCATTTGTCACACTTCGATTGTATTTTTGTACCCTGATTATCCTGTAAAGAACCAAAGGGAAGATTTAAATCACTGAGCACAGAACAAGGTGCCTGCGCACATCTCTAACGTCAACCTCCCTTAATCTCCCTACTGTCACCATACTCTAGTCACTCTGGTCTTCTTTCAAACTCTAGGATAGTAGTTCTCAACCTTCCTAATGCTGCGTCCCTTTAATACAGTTCCTCATGTTGTGGTGACCCCCAACCATAAAATTATTTTCGTTACTACTTCATAACTGTAATTTAGCTACTGTTATGTCTTAGGCGACCCCTGGGAAAGGGTTGTTCGACCCCCGAAGGGGTCATGACCCACAGGTTGAGAACCATGCTGTAGGACATATTAAGCTTTGCCATCTCAGGAAATTGACATATACTCTTTCCTCTGAACAGAATTTTATCCTCAATCTGCTCAATGCTAACTTCTTTTATATTTATGCCTCTGCATAATTATTTCCTCAAAAATTTTCATAAACACTCTAGATAAAAAAAGATCTGTTTCCTACCCTTTATTTCTCTTTGAGTCCCTTGTTTGTTTCCTTGATAGCAATGAATCAATGTTTCACTGGGGGGAGGGAGTGTTACCTTCACTTCTATTAAATTCTACAAGCACAAGGGCTATTGTACTCTAAGAACCTAGCAAGGTGCATGGGGACTCAGTAAACATTTGTAGAATATCATTAACCTAAAAATATATATTTCTAGCTCAGTCATATAAATTATATTTGTTGAAATAGTCATAGTAAAGTAGAATAGAAAAAGAACAGGTCTTTCAGACAGAGATCTAAGTTTGAATTCCAGCTCTGGAACTCACTTCTCTATAATATTGGAAAAATTACTACCCTTCCCTTAGGTCCAAATCTCCTAATTTATAAAACATGAATTTTATACCTACACTCAGAGGATATTACAAAGATAAAAGGATTTTTAAAATATATATATTTTCTGTGACAATATTGTAAAGGATATTAAGTCAGAGAATATATATAAAGCCACTATCAAAGTTCTTGGTAACTTAATGCATGTGGGGTTGAACTAAATATAAAACTGATACCAAATGCTACTACTAAATCCAGGAATGGCATGAGAAAAACCTGACCAAGGATATGAAACTAGAAGAAAAATAAAAGGAAAAATATAAAGAAAGCACTACCAGAACACAGTGTTAAAGAGAGTAAAGAGAGGAGAATCAGTGTTAGGAAATAAATAATTTCAGATATAAACAAGAATATATAAACTCCAGCCTCATCTGTAACTAAAAAATAATACACATTTTTAACCCAAATATTAACAAACTCAATCCAACCAGCTCTGATCTCATCTATGTCTCTTTTCTCTCTCATCTATACTTCCCCAAAGTACACTGTGCCTTAGAGACTTCATTCATTCTCCTCTCAGTACTTCCCATATCAATATACAATATTGCCTCTTTGATTCAGCTCATTGTGAAGCATCAATATTCAATTCCCTACTCCATCAAGTTTTGTACTATATTAGTTTCAGCATTATAGCAAACTTTATTTTAAACCTTGTAAGCCAAGGTTAGCAAGATCTTCATAAAATCTTAAATGTTTAAGGCCCTGATATGTACAGGCAACAAAAGCTTGTTAAAGAAAGTACTTATTACCCTTCTTAAATGCCTTCTAGTAATTTTGCTTCAAACTTTATTCAAGAGATCATCTAATAGAGTAACAGAAAATGTTTAGTTTAAGATATATAAGAATCTAAAATTAGCTAAAGCTAGCATTACATATTCTCAGGAAGAAACATGAATAAAATGTTTCTTCAGAAAACCCCAGCCATGTAATTATCATTATTTTTCTTGTTCCTCTTCAGCATTTCTTTCAAAACTCTGTTTATCACAGCTAGGGAGTGAATGGCCAGGATATTCAGATGAGAAAGTTTAAGTATCTCCTGACTCAGAAATGCCTGGAATAATACCTATATCTACATTTTTAAAAAGGGTCGTGAGCTATTTGGTTAAGGCGAGAGACATACAACAGGGCACCTCAGTTCTTGCAGTATGCAAGTACCTACTCTGTTGCCAAACAGGTAATGGTAGCTAGCTATTTACATACTCTTCCCTAAACTTAGTAATAAACAAGAAAGATTATATGAGTAAATAAAAGTTTCAAATGTGTCAACAAGCAAAAGTCTTAAAAGACATCTTATATTAAAAAATAAATTGATAACTGTTTTTTAAAAAAACAATTCTCCCAATCAATGTTTGGTCACTATTTAATAATATTCCATTTGACAAACCTCTTTCTCTGTTGTCACGACGGTCTCTCTCTCCATGTCTTCTCTCAAAAGAGGAATCCCTTGTTTGATCTCTGTTGTCTCTTTCGGGATATCTGTCTCTTTCAGGATAGCTACTTCGAGTTTCCCAGCTTTCATGATAGTTGCTACTGCTACTGTGACTATCAATTTGAGAAGCTCTTGTGCCTCGGCTTCCTAAAAAGGATATTCAAACAAGTGTTTACATATATACTCTTTATTCAGCAAGTTTCATTAGTCACAAACTTTCCTACCAAAAAAACGTACAGATTGATCAGAACACCTAAGTTGTCTACCGAATCACTTGGGTAAGATAAGTCTCAGTTATTCCCATCTATAAAAAAACATCATATAATGGAATCATAAAGGAAGACACATTTCAATTAACCCAAAACACAACAAAATAAAAAGTAAAAACTATTGATTCATATCTGGTTCCCAGAAATATCATGAAATAATGAAAAATATAGATATATATTATTGCTTCAATTATAGTTTATTGGAATGAAAAACATTCCAATAAGGAACCAAGACACTTTGTTGACATTAAGTGGTACCGGAAAATTTATATTAAAAAATGTAGGCCTTCCTTATTTGTAATACCCCAAACTGGAAAGAACCCAAATGACTTTCAATGAGTGAGTGGTTAACAAACTGGTGGTACACCAACACCATGGAATACTACAACAAGGAATACACTATTGATAAATGAACCTCAAGGAAATTATGCTGAGTGAAAAGGCCAACTCCAACAGCATATATACAGCATGAATCCATTTATGTAACACTTGTTAAATAACAATTATAAGATACAGGACATGCTAGTGGTTACCAGGGGTTAGGGACAGAGGAAGGGATTTAGGTTATAAAGGGGTAACACAGGGAGTCTTGTTATAGTATAGTTGAGTATCTTGATTGTGGTGATGCTAATACAAGACTACACAGCCACTAAGGAAAATAGTACAGAGGTTACTAAAACAATTAAAAATATAATTATCATATGATCCAGCAATCCTGCTGCTGGGTATACATCCAAAGGAACTAAAATCAGGATCTGGAAGAGATATCTGCACTCCCCTGTTCATTACAGCATTATTCACAAATCAAGAAATGGAAGAAACCTAAATGGCCACTGATAGATGAATGGGTAAAGCAACTGGGGTATATACATATAATGGAATATTATTCAGCCTTAAATAAGCGACAACTGGAATGAACCTGGTGGACAAATTCACTGGTGACAACATGAATGAACCTGGTGAACATTACATTTACTTAGTAAGATAGCCAGACGTAGAAGGACAAATACCACATTATACCATTTAATGTGAAATCTAAAACAGTCAAAGTCATAGAAGCAGTAAGCAGAATGGTAACTGCCAAGAGCTGGAGGGAGAGGGAACCAGGGAAGTATTAGTCAAAGGGTACAAAGTTTCAGTTATGTAAGATGAATCAGTCCTAGATATCTACTGTACGGAATAATGCCTATAGTTAGTAATAATGCATCAGAAACTAAAAATGTGATAAGAGGGTAGATCTTATGTTAAGTATTCTCATTAAACACATACACAAATAATAATAATAAAAAAAAGAGAGCAGGATAAAATATTTTTGCGGTGTTTCTGGTACAGATTATGGTGTATACTGATTTCCAAACTCATCAAGTTGTATGTATACATTAAATGTGTCTAGCTTTTTGTATGTCAATCATACACCAATAAAGTGGTATTTTAAAAAAATTTTTTTTTCTTTATATCGGAAAGAGAGAAACACTGATGAGAGAGAACATCGACTGGCTGCTTTCTGCATGCCTCCCACTGGGGATCATGCCCACAACCTGGGCATATGCCCAGATGAGGAATTGAACCAGTGACCTCTTGGTGCATGGGTCGATTCTTAACCGCTGAGCCATACTGGCGGGGTATCAATAAAATGGTTTTTAAAAAAAGTGAATGGAGACACACACACACACACACCTTACACATAAAAGGCTTTGAGGCCTGAAAGAATTATAACATAATTCTAAATACTGTAACAGGGGCCCTGCTGGTGTGGCTCAGTGGCTGAGCGTTGATTCATGCACCAAGAGTTTGCCAGTTCAATTCCCAGTCAGGGCACATGCCCAGATTGTGAGCCAAATCCACAGTGGAGGGCATGCAGGAGGCGGCCAATTGATGTTCTCTCTCATTGATGTTTCTCTCTCTCTCTCTCCCTTCCTCTCTCTCAAAAATCAATAAAGAAAAAAAAAATACTGTAAGAGGGTAGTTTAATGACCAAAATATTTGTAAAGAATATTTTAATAATTAAAGATCAGAAAGAAGAAATTTAAAACATTTTTTAACAGGTTAGACAAAACGAACTTCTGGTAAAGATGGCGGTATAGGTAAACGCGGTATCTCGTCCTCCCACAACCACATCAAAGTTACAACTAAACTACAGAACAATCATCATTCAAAACCGCCTGAAATCAAGCTGAATGGAAGTCCTACAACTACGGAATTAAAGCAGCCGCCACATCCAGACTGGTAGGAGGGGCGGAGGGGCGGAGGGGCGGAGGGGCGAGGGCCGGTGGCAAGAAGGGCTGGTCCCACACCCAAGTGTGGCAGATAAAAATCAGGAGGATACCTCGGCTGGGAAGGTCCTTCCTGAGGACTGAGGTGTCCCCGTCCCACACCAGGTGCCCCGCTCAGGGTTCCAGTGCCAGGAAGAGAAGTCCCCATAACTTCTGGCTGGAAAAACCAGCGGGAACTGAGGCTCAGGGAAGCTGAAGCGGCTGGAGCCCCAGGCAGCTCTCCTTAAAGGGCCCGCGTGCAAACTTTTAGGACTTTCTCCCTCTAAGCTTGGAGGGGAAGCAGCTGGAGGGGCGCCAGAGACATACAGGGAAGAACTGAGCTGTTTGGCACTGGAGCGAGGGCTGGAGAGGGGGCTTCCTCGGGGACAAATGTGCTGTCACAGGCCTTTGTTCCTTTGGTGAGCCCTTCCCTGGGGCGGCAGACAGAAGCTATATCTGGGACTCCAGCAACCTAGCTCACACTGGTAGCCCCGCCCTGGTAACTCCCTGAAGCCACGCCCCGCCCCACCCAATTTTCAGGCCCACCCAAGCTGTTGCCACTTGCTTAAACATAGGATTGGCCTGTCTTGGATCCTGCTTCAGGTTTTTCCTAAATTCTTTCAAATGAGCAGCATCCGGTCTCAGCAAGCCCCATACCTCTCGTTAAGTAATACACTGAAACAAACACAGGGAGGTAGCCAAAATGAGGAGACAAAGAAACAGGTCCCAAATGAAAGAACAGAACAAAACCCCCAAAAAAGAACTAAGCGAAATGGAGATAAGCAACCTAACAGATGCTGAGTTCAAAATAGTGCTTATAAGGATGCTCAACGAACTTGGTGAGGGCCTCAAGAGCTTAAAAAAGGACCAGTCAGAAATTATGCATGCACAGTCAGAATTGAAGGAGGCATTAACTGAAATAAAGAGTAATTTACACAGCTTCAATAATAGAGTACATAAATCCAAGGAGCAAACCATCGATTTGGAATATAAGGAAGCAAAAAATGCCCAATCAGAACAGCAAAAAGAAAAAAGAATCCAAAAAAAATGAGGATAGTTAAGGAACTTCTGGGACAACTTCAAGCATGCCAACATTCGCATCTTGGGGGTGCCAGAAGGAGAAGAGAGAGAACAAGAAATCGAAAACCTGTTTGAAACAATAATGGCAGAAAACTTTCCTAACTTGGTGAAGGAAACAGACATACAAGTCCAGGAAGCACAGAGAGTCCCAGCCAAGATGAACCACAAGAGGTCCACACCAAGACACATCATCATCAAAATGCAAAAGGTTCAAGACAAAGAGAGAATCTTAAAAGCCGCAAGAGAAAGGCAGCTAGTTACCTAAAGGGAGTTCCCATAAGGCTGTCAGCTGTTTTCACAAAAGAAACTTTGCAGGTCAGAAGGGAGTGGCAAGAAATATTCACAGTGATGAAAAACAAGAACCTACAACCAAGATTACTCTGTCCTGCAAAGCTGTCATTTAGAATCGATGGCCATATAAAGAGTTTCCCAGACAAGAACAAGTTAAAGGAGTTCATCACCACCAAACCATTATTGTATGAAATGTTGAAGGGTCTTTTTGAAGAAAAAGATGAAATATATGAACAAACAAAATGGCAGTGAATACATATCTATCAACAATGGAATATACAGACAAAATGAACAGGCAGAACAGAAACATTCTCATAGATACAGAGAACATTTTGTTGGTTGCCAGTTGGGAGAATGGGTGAAAAAGGTGAAGAGATTAAGAAGTACAAATGCATTGCTAAAATACCAACGACATATTTCATAGAACTAGAATAAATACTTCAAAAGTTCATATGGAACCAAAAAAGACCCCGAATAGCCACAGCAATCTTGAAAAAGAAGAACAAAGTAGGTGGGATCACAAGACCAGATATCAGGTTATACTACAAAGCGACTGTAACCAAAACAGCCTGGTACTGGCACAAGAACAGGCTTATAGACCAGTGGAACAGAACTGAAAACCCAGAAATGGACCCAAGGCAATACGCTCAATTAATATTTGACAAAGGTGGCAAGAGCATACAGTGGAGTAAAGACAGCCTCTTTAATAAATGGTGTTGGGAAAACTGGACAGCTACATGCAAAAAAATGAAACCAGACCATCAACTTACACCATACACAAAAATAAACTCAAAATGGATAAAAGACTTAAATGTGACCCGTGAATCCATAAAAATTCTAGAAGAAAATATAGGCAACAAAATTTTGGACATCATACGGAGCAGAATTTTCACTGATACATCACCTAAGGCAACAGAAATAAAGGAGAAAATGAACACATGGGACTACATCAAACTAAAAAGCTTCTGCACAGCAAAAGAAACAATCATCAAAATGGAAAGGCAACCCACTGTATGGGAGAACATCATTGCCAATGATGTATCAGATAAGGGGTTAATTTCCAATATATATAGAGTGCTCATACAGAACTCCACAAAAGGAAGACAAAGAACCCAATTAAAAAAATGGGCAGAGGAGCTGAATAGACACCTCTCCAAACAGGACATACAAATGGCCAAGAGACATATGAAGAAATGCTCAACATCACTAATGATCAGAGAGATGCAAATTAAAACAACAATGAGGTATCACCTCACACCTGTCAGAATGGCCGCCATCAACAAATCATCAAACAACAAGTGTTGGCGAGGGTGTGGAGAAAAGGGGACTCTAATACACTGCTGGTGGGAATGCAGACTGGTGCAGCCGCTATGGAAAACAATATGGTGCTACCTCAAAAAATTAAAAATTGACCTTCCATTTGACCCAGTGATCCCACTGCTGGGAATATACCCTAAGAAGCCTGAAACACCAATCAGGAAGAATATATGTACCCCCATGTTCATAGCAGCACTATTTACAATAGCTAAGATCTGGAAACAGCCCAAGTGTCCACCAGTAGACGAATGGATAAAAAAGCTGTGGTACATATACACAATGGAGTACTATGCAGCGGTAAGAAAGATCTCTTATCCTTTGAGGAGGGACCTGGAAAGTATTATCCTAAGTGAAAGAAGCCAAGCAGAAAAAGACAAATACCACATGATCTCACTTATATACGGAATATAATGAACATAACAGTCTGAGGAATACAGTAGACCCAGACACATGGAAGTAGGGCACAGACTGACATCCCTCAGAAGAGGGGATGGGGGGTGGGGGGTGGGAAGAGATAAACCACAGAACTTATATGCATGTGTGCATGACCAATGGACATGGACAACTAAGCCGGGGACAGGGTGGAGGGGGGGTGGGGTGGGGGGTTCCAATGGGGTAAAAAGGTAAAATATCTGTAACAAAAAAATAAATAAAAATTCATAAAAAAAAAAAAAATGCACTGCTAGACTGACAAACCTCAAGGGAAAGGGGTTGGGGGGGGGGGGAATAAACCAAAAACTTATATGCATAACCAATGGACACAGACAATAGTGTGGGGAAAGGCGGGAGGGGGTCGGGAATGGGGAGGAGGGGGGTCAATGGGGGAAAAATGTGGAACATCTAAAATACATTTTACATCCAACAATAAAGATTAAAAAAAAAAAAAAAAAGGTTAGACAAAACATCTAAGGAATGAACAGGTTAAATGTCAGATTATATGGTGCTAGGAGAAAATAAGTAAAAAAAGGTATGTCTGAGGATACGATCCAGAGAGTGGAAGACAGATAAAAAGATGAAAAATTTGAGAGTTAAGAATCAAAAAAGATACAATGAAACATTCAAAATATATCTAACATATATCTAACTATATACTGTTTAGAACCATTTAAAAAAAAAGATACAGAAAGCTTGAAAGGATGAAAAAAGATATATTAATTAAACAAACACTAACCAAAACAAATCTGTGGAGTGACATCAGAGGAATGGTGGCATGAGAGGTTTCCTTGGTCTATCCCACTGAAGTTACAATTTGAACAGCTATAACTTAACAAAGGATTGATTCCCTGCTCAACACACAAATATGTGTGAGAGCTCCATCCATTGAAACATCTAAAGGCAGGCGAGCAGGTGAGAGGGGAAAGGGAGAGGAGTGAGACGGGTGTCAAAGACACAGCCAGGGGCTCACTGTGGTTATTGAGAGAGAAGCATCAGGTTGCTGCCTGCACTCCCTATACAGCCCAGAAGAGCAGAGACACAATGAGGTGAGTGTTCTTGCTGGAGTGATTGGTATATGCTGTGGGTGAACCCAGTGAGCTGGACAGAGATGGAGTATAGAGATGGGCTGTGGTTGGTGAGCAGCTGCCACTTCCAAGCAGAGAAACAAAGCCAATAAGCCTGGCCACCTCTCCTCACTGTCTCAGAGCTTGCCTCCTCAAATTCTCCCAGAACTAGCAGCGGGCCCCAGAAGAAGCTGTAGTAGTGAGTGTTGGACTAGGGAGCACATAGCTGCAGCTCTGAGAACTGTAAAGACAGAAGCATTTTTCCCTGAGTGGCAGGTGCACCCTACAGCTAATCCCAGTGGCAGGAGTGGAGATACAGAGGTGAGGCAGCTGAGGTCTGGCAGCCACCATTAGTGGGAGAATAAACCCACAAAAGCACCAAATGGCCTCTCCCAGCTCACCCTGTCCCCACCCATTATAGCTGGACTGCTAACAGTATCTGTTTGCAGGGACAGCACTGGGATTTCACCAGCTTTGAAACCCATTGCCACCACATTCCCCCACAGGGATCAGGCCCTGAGACTGAGCAGACTTAGTCACAGAGGAGATGCTCACCTCCCCAGGTAATACAGGCATTTTTTTTTACCACTCCACAGAGATCAGAGAAGCCAGAGCAGTGCAAGAGAAACTAAAAAACATTTGTGCTTCAGTGTCACCTACTGGTAAACAAAACATTTCTTATCAACCTACTAGAGAAGTGCCACTATTTAAAGAAAAATGCAGACTTCATTCTTACAGATGCCTAGACAGAGAAGTAATTAATCAAATATGAATAACCAAGGTAACAAAAGTACAAAAAGAAAATTAAAAATCTCCAGAATATAAACTTAAAGACATGAAAAATTGTGATTTAAATGACACAGAATTTAAGATTATAGTTCTGAAAAAACTCATTGAGATACAAGAATACAAAGACAGGCATTTTAACAAACCCAGATATAAAACCAATGAACAAAACAAGTACTTTACCAAAGAGACTGAAACTTTAAAAAAAGAATCAAATAGAAATTTTGGAGATGAAGAACTCAAAACTGACACCATCAATTTTGAAAGCTCACCATTTAATCCTTCTTTAATATATAAATTATTAGAAATTATTTCCTTTTGACTCCCCCCCCCCCCCCTTCAGAGCAATTTTCTTAGTGTTTCACATTAGTCAAGATTTTAGGCATGATATAATTCAGACTGGGTGTCTAGGTCAGGCCCACTAATATTTTGCTGCTTTAGCTCACAATTCCTATTCAGATTTTATAGGAAAGATCACAAATTCAATTAATTAAAAATTACTTTGAAAAACAATGACAATGAATGTAGAAATAATATATTTAGAAAAGAAATCTTAGGAAATTTAAATTTCTTAATTAAATTTCTATATAAACATACAAGATACAGTTAACTGACAAGCAAAAAATCTTACCCTTTTCAGATAACTCTGGACCTCTCCCCCTACTTCTGCCCATCCGGTCATTCCTAATTTCACTTCGAGACTCATTTCTGGAATCATTCCTTAATTCAGTACGAGAACTTTCTTCTCTCATATGGTTTCTGCCATAACTTCGGGATTCTTCCTGATATGTATCCTCCTTTCTATGAGCATCTCGACTGTCACGGTCCCTATAGTCATGGGCATCACGAGTTGACCTAGAATCTCTGGGATCACGGCTCTCCTTGTTATCTCTGCTATAATCTCTCATCTCCCTAGCATCCCGAATGTCTCTGGAGTCTCTTAGTTCCCTTCGGTCTCTAGTATCTCTGGCATCTCTTCGATCCCGAACATCTCGAGGTTCTCTGTCTTCTCTGTGGTCTCGGGAAGAGCTCTGATCCTGTTCATATTCTCGTTCTTCTCTTGTGTCCTTTTCTCTATCCCTTTTGCCTCTAGTCTCTGTAATGCAGTTTTGGAAATTAAAAAAAAAATAATAATAATTATATATATATATACACACACATTTACTGTGGAGCTTTAACAATTTATTACAATGTTCTTTGCAGGAGAAAATAAAAGGAGAAAATATGGTCAAATAAGAAATTTAAATCCACCCAAAAGCTAAAATTTCAAAGGTAATTTTTACTAACACTTAAATAATTGTTTTTATTGAATAAACTCTAAAATCTTCCCCTGCCCCAATTTACCCATACTTATATCTTAAACAATTAAAACAAGTAAGTTGTCCTCATATAATTGATGGCTTACTTTTTGGAAACCACTTTGAGATACAGAGGCACACAGTGATTTTAATCACCTCTACCAAATATTAGGCCAGACCACTTCAAATGGAGTTAAGCATCTTAGAGTGGCCTATAGTTAGTAAGCTGTCTGGCAAAGAGATACTGTTACTCTCTTTTCTTGGGCTATTTAATGGAATCACACTCCTGTCTCCAAAGCTTTCTCTACTTAAAGCATTTTGTAAGATTTCATAGAAAAATAAATAAGTAATTTTAGTTATTAAAAAGCTGGAACAAATCTCACTGACCAATCCAAACTTGCAACTGTATAAATGAAGAAATAGAGAGTCAGAACTTAAATGGCTTTGTTAACCCTATACCTCATGGGAATTTGCAAAGATTAGAAACTCTTCTTTATACATGCCTAGAATAGACACAGATTGATTACAGCATAAATCTAATGTGAAGTCAAAGAATTAACAAGAGAACCTCAAAGAACAAAGACTGCTTTTTAAAAAATCAGATTCCTTTGTAAGTTGCTCTTACACTCTGGTACTGTTATTTTAGACTCTGTAGCAATTTTATGCCAAAGACATTATAAATTTACCTCCTTTTCACTTTGTCGCCAGTGGCTAGGTCCATAGGCTTTTTCAAGCGCCCAAACACCAAGTATCCACAAATCCTCCAGATTCTCACATCAATAACTTATCTGCCCTGCCAATTACTTTGTCCATATGCCTATATCATAAATGCCATTTAAGGACAGAAGTACTAGGCAAGGATTTGATATGTCTCCATCCCTTCTTGTAAACATTTACTACTTCTAGTTCTCCTCCAATACCAACTGTGCCTAAAAATATGTTCACTTAATTCTTTTTCTCATGATGCTCCTATCTGACTTTACAAATACATCTAATTACTATATTTGTTCTTTACCACCCTCCCTATTCTTCCATTAAAATTATTATTTCAGAAAATGACATCTAAATAGAGAGGAAAAAGTATCTGCTATATCTCTTGTGGAAGGTTAAAAAAATACCCTCATTACAAAGAACCTAAACACATATGGATTCTTCCTGTAACATAAGCCACTCTTACCACAAAAAAAGCAATCCTAAAAACACTCAACTGCATACTATTCCTCTTCATTAGTGTGTTTAATAATTATGTTTTGAAATAACAATTTTCATTCAGTAAGTAGTCACTAAATGAACAGTATATTTCTGATCAATTCTAGTTGTTAAATACAGTATTAAAATTAATAGATAAGTATAAGAGAATTTTCCCAACTAATCAATGTTCTATGAATAATGATGTGCTGATATGGTTCCAAAATCATGGACACAGGGACAATTCTATAAAATAGGGGCTCTCTCTGGTCCCTACCTATGCATCCATCATTTCTTTTTTGAAATAATAAAAAAAAAAAACTTGATTAATTATTGCTTGCACTGTTGATACAAAGAAAATAACTAAATTCAACATGTTTCATGGGAGACTGCTATATTACATTCATAGACAGGCTTTTAAAATGCACATTAATCAGAAATGTTGTTGCAAGTAAGCAAGTGTTTCCTGAGTACTCATTTTGATAAAAAACTAACTCAGGCTCTGGCTGGTTTGGCTCAGCGGTTAGAGCATAGGCTTGTGAACCAAAGGGTTGTAGATTCCATCCCTGGCCTCAGGTTCGGGTCATGCGGGAGGCAACAAATCGATGTGTCTCTCTCACATTGATATGTCTCTCTCTCTCTTTCTCTCACCCTTCCTTCCTCCCTCCCTTCCACTCTATCTAAAAATCAATGGAAAAATATCCTCAGGTGAGGATTAACAAAAATAACAACAAAAAGACGAACTCAGGAAAAGTTAGGGGATAAAACTTGTCAAGGTAAATAAACAAGGACTTCAAAGCTTAGACAAGAAAAAAAATAGCGATATTAAATGAATGATATTAGACTGTATTGTGAGGTAATAATAGCATCTTAGCTTGAACAGGATATAGCAAATCCAAAGTTAAATGAATTCTTAGGGATCTAGAAAGGAAACTGCTTTGCTTACTTTACTTCTTTCTTGAGTTGTACCTGGAAAACTATCACTTGGTTTGCACTGACCCTTTGAATATTACCCCAGTTCTCACCTCTTTATCAAAACACTTCTGATGCTTTCAAACTCTGCCCTCTGGTTTGCTGCTTTTCATTCCTTTACCTCTTTGGTTTTTTTAAAGAATTCACAAAGCAATTAGGAGGTTACAATAAAAATAAGATGGCCAAAAATTTCTAGAACTTGCGAGTACTCAAGTAAAACATCTTAAAGAAAGCACCAACTTTGTATACATATAGATGCCTACTTGTACACATTCTAACAGCTTACATTCCCATGTCATTAAGCACCTGCCCTCAAAACTGCTCCTCTGTGTATTACAGAAGACTTAATATAACACAGTTCTCATTTATCCCTTATTATAACAATAAATTTGAATGTCCAAGTTTTAAATTAAGCAATCTACTTAAATGAGTTGAAAACATCTAGATAAAGTATAATGCATACCTTCCCTCCTTTCATGACGCCGATCATGAGACTGTGAAGTTCGTTCATGATCATGCCTCCCTTTCTCTCGCATTGGAGAGCGATGTCTTGGAGGACTTTGCTTTCTCTGAGGAGAAGACAGAGAATGTGAAGAAGGATAAGGCGAAGTAGAACGTCGTAAAGGTGGAGTTATTATCCTCTGATAAGATGGTGAAGGAGTTCTTTTTCGACGAGGAGAAAGAGAATGTCTTTGAATAGATGATCCTGACTGTGAGGACGATGAGTGATGCCTAGAAGACATAGGAGAATGATGCTGTCCTGCAGGAGAAGTAGACCTACAAGGAAAAATAACATTAATAAAAAACACATTCAAGAGCCTTCATTTCTAGACAAAAGAAAATCTTTTTTTCCAAAAGAAACAAACAAAAAAATTAAATGTAAAAGTTCAAGTTAAAAGTGTGAATAATTCCAGGATAAATTTTAAATCACACTGCTATAAAATAAGAAGTTGATTTTTAAAGATTTGATTGATTTTTAAATCAACTTCTGGCAAGAGTTCTGGAGGAGATATGCACTGTCTTTCTCCCAAGCTTTGGCTCCAAGGCACAGTTCCTTTTCCAGGTAACATTCTCCCCTTAGCGCAGATGGTCCTACCCTTACTTGAAGTATGGAATTCACTCTTGTTAGAGATAATCTCTGAAAGTAATCTGGCTTGGAGGGGGGAAACCCACAAAGAGCTAAAGAAGATCTAGACAGAAAGTAGCTGTGAGAATGTCTGTAATTCAAGGCTGTGAGAAAAAAGGAAAAAAAGGTATCCAGTTAAGCCAAACCTAAAGTCTGTACTTGCCTAAGTTGACATCTAGAATGGGGGGAAAATACTAGGGTTAAGGAAGGAATGTACTGTCTATACAGTTTTCCCCCTTTTTTGGTTTTTTACATAGTAACTTAAAAAAACAAATTCTTATTGATTTCAAAGAGAGGAAGGAAGGGAGAGGGAGACAGGGAGATAGAAACACCGATGAGAGAGAAACATTAATTCGCTACCTGGGCATGTACCCTGGCCAGAAATTGAACCCATGACCTGGTGCATGGGCGGCAAAACACTGAGTCATGCTGGCCAGGCAATACAGTTTTCATCTTAAATAACCTGCCTTCACTCTTGGGCAGCACAAAATGAAATTTAGTTTGTAAGTCTTAGTTTAAGGTGTTCTCTACCTTTAAAATCATCTTCTTTCACTGATGCCAAAGAGACAACATACCTCACGAAGCACATCTGAATCACTCCTACAATCTATTATGTCTGGGCCCTGACTACAATGAATATACAAAATGCGTACGTAATAAAGAGCTGGAACACACACATTTGTGCAATAACTAAAAACAGGACTAATGTTTAAAAAATAACATTCTAGATATCACATATCCAAATAAATATCATATTCTTCAAAGCAATCAGTTAGAGGGCTACATGTTTATTAAAAAGTAAATTCTGAAGTTCTAATCAAAGTATTTTAGAATTATCTTCAATGTCTACAATAATTACTTTTAAATATCCACAATGTTGGCAAAATCATTGTCAATCCTATACCAGGGTTTCTCAATCTTGACACTACTGACATTTTGTATTCAGTAATTCTGTATGGTGAGGGGTTGTCTATGTTTGGCGGCAGCATCTCTGGCCTATATCCATAGTAGCCAGTAAACTCCCTCTCAACCCCATTCGTGATGATAAAAAATTGCTCTAGACACTGCCGAATGTCCCCAGATAATGCCAAATCAACCCTGGTTGAGAACTGCTGCCTTAAACTACGTTGTATACAAATGATACTTTGGTAGACCTTTTACTAATCAACATAAGGTTTAAATATATAAAACATGTCACTAAGTTAGAAAAATAATCCAACATATTGGAAAGAATTTTGTAGAACAAGAATTTGAGCAAATAAACAAACAAACAAACAAAAACCTTTAGGATAACAGTTAACTTAAAGAAAAAAAAAGCTAACTAAAACATTCACCTAAACATTCTAGTTATCTGTGACTCCAAGAAATCTTCACGCTTTTCATAAAAATTGTTACTCCTTTCTCATATTATAAAAATGAGCCATAAGCCACTATAACTTAATTGACTCTAAATAAATATTTGCTTACAGATATGAGGAGAAATACTCAATGGGTCCTTACCCAAATTTGGAAACCATTTATGACTAATGGCCATTCAAATGCATCCTACTGAAAAAAAAAAAAAAAAATCATTGCAAGACTGAGAATTAGAATGACTATTGTTTGGTGCTTTCTAATTTCAATTTCTTCAGATTCTGATAAACTTGGAAATATCTAAATTGATATTAGTGGTTCTCCACTAAACAGACATTTTGGTTAATTTCGAGTTTATTTCTGAGGTATACTCAAAATTCTTTCAAAAATGTCTACAATAGCCCTGGCCGGTTTGGCTCAGCCGTTAGAGCGTCGGCCTGCGGTCCGGAGAGACCCGGGTTCGGTTTCCGCTAAGGGCACGTACTTCGGTTGCAGTTTGTCCCCGGCCCTGGTTGGTCGTGCGGGTGGCAGCCACTCGATGTGTCCCTTCACGTCGATGTTTCTCTCTCTCTCCCTCCCACTCTATCTGTACAAAAAAAAGAAAAAATGTCTACAATACCCTTTGGTGATTAATACATAGAAATTAAAAAATAAAACAGTTCATAATGCTATCTTTAAAAACACACTGTAGTCCAATCACATTACTATTCAAATTTGGTCTATAAGCATGAAAAAAATTTTCGGTTCAAGCTTAGAATAAATCAAGCTTTCAATTAAAGTGAGAGCACCAATGTGTTGTTAAGCTATGGTTTCAGCTTTTAACTATCTTTTTCTTCTTACCCATTCTTCAGGGTAAAATAGTTTTAAGAAAATTGTTGATTTAATTTAAGCATTTGTTGTAGACCGACTGTGTTTCTCCTAATTTTTATTTTGAAACACCAACACCCAATATGATGGTATGTTGAGGTGGGGCCTTTGAGAGTAATTAGGTTTAAATGAGGTCCTAAGGGTGGGGCTCCCGGGACTGGATTAGTGTCCTAATAAGAAAAGGAAGAGACCAGAGCTTCCCTCTCTCTCTCTCCCCTCCATGTGAGGATACAACCAAAAAATAAATCCTGAAGTGGGCCCTTACCAGGAACCAAATCTTCCTGGCACCTTGACCTTAGACTCTAGTCTCTAGACCTGTGAGAAATAAATATCTTTTTTTTTTTTTAATTTTTAATTTTTTGTTACAGAGGTTTCTCCTTTTTTACCCCATTGGCACCCCCTCCTCATCCCCCTGTCCCATCCCCGGCTTTGTTGTCCATGTCCATTGGTTATGCATACATGCATATAAGTTCTGTGGTTTATCTCTTCCCACTCCCCTCACCCCCCTCTTCTGAGGGATGTCAGTCTGTGCCCTACTTCCATGTTTCTGGGTCTACCGTATTCCTCAGACTGTTATGTCATTATATTCCATATATAAGTGAGATCATGTGGTATTTGTCTAAATATCTGTTTTTAAGCCACCTAGTCCATGATATTTTGTAATAGCAGCCCAGGTTGGCTAAAACAGCATCTTTACATTCTCCTCTGTTGTTATTCTTTTTTTGCTGCTGTTAATCCTCATCTGAGGATTTTTTGAGAGAGTGGAAGGGAAGGAAGGAGAGAGAGAGAGAGAGGAGAGAGAGAGAGAGAGAAACATTGATTTCTTGTTCACTTATTTATGTATTCATTACTTAATTTTTGTATGTGCCCTGATGCAGGATCAAACCCACAAGCTTGGCATATCAGTATGATGCTCTAACCAACTGTGCTAACCTACCACAGACTTTCTTAAAATTAATAACACCAACTTTTCATTCAATAGTTTCTACTTCTCAAAGATGAAAATATGCTTATATAATGTAACTAACACCTATAATTCAACCTTTAAAATCGTCATGCAAAAAATACTTTAAAAAAAAAAGGACTGTGGATACTATCAAAATCAACTCTATTTCCGGTGGTAAAACACAACATGACACACATTACACAGAGAAAGATTTAGGTTTTAATTCACTGAACAAACATTAAGTGAGCACCTTCTACGCTCCAAGCATTACTTCTGGCGCTGAAGATACAGAAGTGAAGAAGTTGGACAAAACCACTAACATAATTGTGATAATAATACTGATAACAGCAGGTAATACATATATGGTTACTATGTGCATGTTATTGTTTTAAGTGCTTTACATAGATCAGCTTATTTCATCTTTATGACAACAACCCTATAAGGTAACTGAGGCCGAAGACTGAAAAACAGTCTATCTTAAATACATGGTCTAGGAGTAGACCACTTAGAACAAAGCAAGGCAATTTCAGCTAATTAACACAACAAAATCTACAAAAACAGGGTAATTAAATAAAACTGTTAGGTCCAAAAATTTAGTTTTTCAGGAGGATTACTAAGAATAGGGCCTTTACGAAGTTGATATTTGAGCCAAGAGTTGAAAACCTGAGGGCAGAACTTTCTGTGCAAAGGGCTCAGCAACCATCACAGAGGCAGGAGAGATTACAATACATAAGAACAAAAAGAAGACAAGAGTAAGTACAATTTTTTTTCTCCTCTCCCAAGGACATTTTTCCATTCTTGTTAAGATAAAGTGGGAGGGAGAGAGAGAGAGAAACACTGACGTGAAAGGGACACATGGAGTGGTAGCCTCCCGCATTACCCCAACCAGGGCCGGGGACGAATTGCAACCAAGGTACGTGCCCTTGACTGGAATCAAACCTGCAAATCATTGGTCCGCAGGCTGACACTCTAACCCACTGAGCCAAACAGGCCAGGGCAAGTGTAAGGACAATTTATGAGAGTGAAAAGTCTTATGAGAGAGTGTCATAGAGTAGGCAGGGGCCAGATGATATAAAGTCTTCTTGGTTATGATGAAAGTCTGGTTTTATTCTAAGCATGAAGGAAATCATGCTGGAGAGTGTTAGAGAAGTGTCAGTCAAAATCTAACAAGACCTTACTTGCTTAAATAAATATGAACATGGAGAAAGAAAATGTTTCTGTGTAATGATTTGTTTTAGGCCTATTAGCTTGCTGTCCCTATTAGCTAGCATGATAAATACTCCCTGGAAGGGGAATCATTTCTAACTAAGTGATCTAAAGAAATAGGAGAATACCTGTCTGCAGGAATCTTTTGAAAGGTATATCCTCCATAAATATATATATATAATGATACTTGTAAAACATCTGATTCAAGCAAATGAATAATGTAGTCTAGATAATTCAAGGAAATTTAAACCAAATACTAATATTTTTAGGGAGATTTCA